GATGTTTGTTCTCAATGCGAGGAGGAGTGTTATCTCCGCGCCTCATCTTTATAATTTTTCCTTCTTCATCCTCCCTACTGTACTCGACGCCTACCCTTATTCAGTACACATATACCAACTCACCCATATACCATACGCGATACATTCCATCTCTCTCCTCCCGATCCCGCCTCTACAGCGAGGAGGAGTGTTAGATTTCACGCTCAACGCACTAGGCGCTGTAGATCGGCATCTCCCGTAGACACTAAACATCACTCGTCACATTCCAACGTCCCTCACTCGTTCTACCATCTATCCGAGTGAGGGTACGTCGTCCCCAGCATTATCAGCACATACTACATACTTACAGTACCCTGTAGCTTCTCATACACGGGCTACAGGTATAATACACTCGTTCTACCATCTATCCGAGTGAGGCTTCTCATACACGGGCTACAGATTTTAACAGAGTAGACTGGGTTCATAATCTACCCGCGTTGCAGCCCATACGATGGTCCTGGTCAATGCTGATGATCTTGCTCGTTTTCTGTACCACATTCCTGACGGTCCCAGCATGGGCGGAAGAGGAATGTCCATGTATTTGTAGTACGTGCTGAATCAGTGATGCACGAAGGTAAACATGCGTGACAATCGAGAGCAATGTGAAGGCTGAAGAGAAATGAGCATTAGTATTTCACAGATCGTGGCGACGTTCGCCATCTACACATCCGGCTTCCGTCGTGTTACGTGACAGAAGGGGGCTAAGGACGTGTAAGCGTGGCAGAGGGAAAGGGTGACGTGGGTAGATGCATGATATAGTACAACGGTTTCGTCACCGTCTCATGAAGAAGCACGGGAGTCGAGCAGACCAGTCGGACGGACGAACATAGTCGTGATCCTGGGTGCAGACACATCGGACGACGATAGCGCTGAACCCAACCGAGCCACACGAGCACAACCAACCCAAGAGGAAGAGTACGTAAGGAAAGACCCTCGGATCACTCCATCGCTCAATGCATCTTGAAGCAGTTACTACAGAACCCCTGCGGCTTGAACGGGTTCTGCTTGAACTCCCTGCAGTCGAACCGCGTGCTCTCGTCCCGGGGGCTGTCGAACGGCGAGTACGTTAGCCCGTCCGGATCGGCAGCCGCCGTTCCCGTCAACGCGAGCGAGCTGTACGAGCTCGACGTCGATGACTTGGTGCGCAGCGTCCCTGGGCGACTTGGCACGGGGGGCGGAGTGGGCGCGTTGACCGAAAGTGTCGACCTACGCGGAGGCGGAGGCGGAGGTGCTTTCTTCGCGGGGGACCCCGACGTCGTGTCACGACGAACGGGAACTGGGGGAGGGAGAGAGGTCGGGACTGGCACGGCGGGCGAGGTGGGGGCGGGGAGGCCAGTGACGTATTTGGACGAGAGGGCATCATCGATGCGCTGAACGTGCATGAGACTCGAGGACTCGTCATCGTCGCTGAAGTTGCTGCTCTGGATGCTGTCTTCGTAGACCTTACTCGATTTGCCGTTCCGCGCTTGGTGGTCGCCGAACGGATGCCCGTCCTCGAGTGAAGAGTATGATGATGTAGATTTCTTTGCGCCATTCGACAGTCCGAGGGCGCGAGTGACAGAAGCAGATGGTCGGTGAGGCAATGGGGGAGGAAGAGACGTCTGCGAAGAGTTGATGATCTCGGTGTACGTCGTTGGGAACAGCCCGCGCCTGCCCTCGAGCTCGCCCATCCACCAGCCGTCGAGGACCTCGCTGATGACTTCGATCTGGTCCCCAGCCTTAAAGCTCAGCTCGTCTGTCGAGCCCGCAGCGAAGTCATGCAGCGCAACGACGCGCTTGTAGTTCTCCTTATCCTTCCCACTATCCTTCTCCTTCTCCCCACCGTTCGAGAACGACTTCAGCAAACGCGCAGGAAGCTTCGGGGACGTCGAAGGCAGCCCGGGAACGGACGAGCGGCGCTTATGCGGGGGCTTCGTTACCCCAAACTCGTCCGTCTCGCTCAGGTCGCTGTCGAGCTCCGCGAACTTCTCCTTGTTGTTCTTCTCCTTCTCTTTGTCTTTCTTCCCTCCCCGCCCGATCATCGAGCTGACGCTCCAGCCCGCGACGCTCAGCCTGTGCGAGCTCTTCTCAGGTTTCGGTTTCTCCTTCTCCTTGTCCTCTTTCTCGCTAGCGGCTGTTGCTGTGCTGTCGGATCGCTTCCGCGACGCGCGAGATGGGGCGCGCGACGGCGGCTTGCTCTCTGCGACATCGGACTTCTTGCGTGAGAGCGACTTCTTCCGGGACATGGTCGGCCGCTGCTCGTCCGCGCTGGACTGGGCGGCCTCCTCCTCCGCCTGCTTCTTGATCGACTTCGCCGAGCGTATCGACCCCGAGCGCGACGCAGGTGTAGGACGAGGCGACGGTCGAGCCTTAGAAGCACCTAGCTTCTTCAACGTATCCCTAATCATGACGTTGGCAAATAGACAAATAATGGGAGGAAAGGAAGCACGTACTCGTCGACCCATGCCGACCTGACCTTCTGCAGCTCGTCTAGATAAGAATGGACGAAATTGATCTCGAGGTCCAGGAAGTTGGTGAGCTCGCGTAGTTGGATCACCTCGTTCTCCTGAATCGAGTACATGCGTGTGCGCACATCTTCCAGCGTTTCCTCGCTGCAAAGCAATCTATCTCAGAGAGGCAGGGCTTTGAGAATGAAGGGCTTACGTACTAGCGAGCCTTAGCGGTCTCCAACTCTTCTTCGGCCTCCTCGCGATCCTTCTCTGGGACTTTCTTAGCGTGCTTCAGCTTCTCGAGCCTAGCAGCTGCCGCATCGTAACTGATCCTACAGCCACCTCACCCCATCAGCTACCTGCACGCGCATACGTGCAACACGAAGTAACACCCACCGCCGGCTCTCGAGCTTCTTCCTCTGCGTCTGGTACTCTTTGATCTCGTCCTCGCTCTGCCGCACCGCCGTCAGGTACGTCTCCTCGAGCGTCATCGCGTAGCTCTCCTGGAGCGTCGCGACGTTGCAGTGCGCACGGCCGAGGCTCACGAGCGACTGCCCGTACGCCGACTCGTCGCCGAACTCCTCCCCGTGTTTGATCATGACGACCCCGAGCGCGTCGAGCGCGAGCACCTTGTCGTCGGTGCCCGTCACCTCGGATACCTTCTTCTTCAGGAGGTAGTGCCGGTATTCGTCGGACGCGACGTCGAGTCTGCGTTGAGGTAAGTCAGTACATGTTATTGCAGATGAGGTGAAGCGCGCGGCAGCCGGACTGCCCCGTGAGATGGGAAAGCCATTTTAGACTTGACTGCCCGCGTTAGGATGGTACATGCATGCTAGAGGACTGGGGTTACAGACCCCATGTGGCAACCAAGACTCTCGACGTTAGCCGAGGCCGACGAAGTCGGACATCACTGTCATCGGCTGTCGACGTCACCGACGTCGGCCTGCTTTGTAGGCTCGAGACGGACACATGCCACTGGCCAACGTGCACATAGGCTTTCCAATCCTCGCACGACGAAGACGCAGCATAAGCAGTTTCTGTCTGACCCTTCATAGGGTTCTCCCTCGAATCATACGACTCGCGGACTAACGCCCGAGCCCCATAGCACGGGACAAGAGAGAGAGACGCCACGATAGCCAGCGCATATAAGAAGTCCAAGGCACGGACCAAAGTAGAAAGACAGCAGAGACGATCCACAGGGTACTCACCGCCAGAGGCCCTGCCTCCTGAGCTCGACGTCGTGCTCCAGCTCTCGGAACTCGTCCGACTGGATCGTCTTGTCCCGCGTCATGATCACCTCCCCCATGAGCTGCCAGCAGAAGCGTTATTCATCAAGCCGTGCACGGAGGTGAAGGGAGTTGCGGGGAGGGGACGGAGACGCACCTGGCGCAACTTTCCAAGCTGTTACCCCGCATTGACCGCGGCCGTTCAGCACACCGACGCCTCTCACGTACGTATCGCCGAACGCTCTCACCTGCTTGCTAGCCATCGTGTCCTATCGTCCGCGTCGGTCCTGCCTTGCTATGACTATTTCTTGCCGTCCCGTCGAGAAAAACCGAAACCAAGAGTGCAATGGTAAGAAACAAGGTGTCGTCGAGCGTCCAACGTTCACTGGACGGTGGCAACGGTGGTCGTAACGGAGAGCAAGCCCCTTCGTTTGGCTCTCTGTGCACTGGACCGACCCTGAGGTACAATCAGGCCAGATCCCATCGGGAAGGTCCCGTTGTCCCAATTTGTCGCGATTCCTGCACGCTCATTGGCTGGCCCTCAATTTTCGCGAGATCGTTCGATCCTCCTTGTACCCCGGGATCGCCGACGCGTCTCGCTATGTAATTGTCCTTGTTGTTTATCCGCGGCTCTCGTTCTCGATCGCAGACGGATCAGAGCTCCGCGCCATTGACTATACTGAAGCTCCTACATATGTATGTCGAACAATGCAGCAAAAAGGCCTGATAGCAAGGCAGACTAGAGAGGCAATACAAAAACATTACACGTACAACGTCGACACACATAACGTACTCAGCAGCGTCGGCACGCCCGCAGGCGGTCGCCACCATCATATCCCCGCCTTCGCCGCCAGCCGCATACCCTCCTGTATCGCGACCGCCTCCTCCACCCACGGCAGCCGGAAGAACTCCGACCGCTTCAGGTCCTCCTGCCGAACCGTCGCGCCCTCGCTTGGCCCGCTCCCGAGCACGCTCTCCAGGTCCCGCGACTGCGACGCGAGCCACGTCTGGATGAACCCGCGCGGGTCCTCCTCGAACGCCCGCAGGAACGTCCGCTTCTGGTGTGAGTTCGACAGCGACTGCACATGCAATGCGATCTTCCGGCACGCGGGGTTAGTAGGCGAGGGCGCGGCACCAAAGCAAGGGCGGAACTCACCTCTTCGTCGAGTTTCGTGAGCTCCTTGGCCGAATCCTGCGCCATGCTCACCACGACGTGCTGCATTCGGCCCTTGAGGTTCGAGTCGTCGACCTTGACCTCGACGTCCCACGCCGCCGCCTTCTCTGGCGGCGCGACCGTAGGGTTCAGCGTATAGTGTAGTATGATAGGTTCGGGCGGCGCGAGGTACCGATTTACGATTTCGGGCAGTGCGGAGAAGTACTCGTATTCTTGATTATTGTGAGTATTGAATATCTGCATGGTATCCTGAGCACCACCGAAACGGGAGGAGCAAACAGAAATGACGTACTGGACGGAGACGAGCATCAGCGTGGATCTTTCGGCGGTCTTGCTTGTCCTGGAGGTTGTTCTGTTTGATGTAGTTCCAGAGCGCCTGGACGACCCCTATCCGCGACTCTTCCTTGACGCCGATGATGTTGGCTGCGAGTCCGGAATGAATTAGTGTCCATGATTCGCATATGTGCATAGAGCGGCTCCGCCACCCCGGCGACCCGTGGCCGACGTGTGGTGCGAGAATACCATCCTTCCTCACAATTGCCCATCCCCAAGGAGGCGTCAATGACACTGCCACAGCTCAGTCCCTCTATGCATCCCGCTCCGAAACGTATCGTTGACATTCCGAGACGTCCGCACCAAGATGTCGCGCATGTCTGGGAATTGAATGTGTATATAGCCTCTCCATAGCGAGAAGACCGCACCCGTTTGGCAAGCGGGATGGGACTGGGACTGGGCCGGGATTGTCCACCAAATCCACTGTAGCCGCTCTCAACCCCAATCTCATCTATGGGCGGCTACGGCAAATTTCGCTGACAATCCGACTCCCATCCCGCTTGCCAGACGGGACCTAAGGAGTAGTCGCACGCATCGTCTCTGGCCCTCATCGCGGGTTATCTCTCTGCGTACAATCGGACTGCTCAAGGTAAACACGTCATGCAACATGCGCGAAATTCGATGCGACGGCCGTGCCTTCGTATACAGGAGCATACGGCGTAACGCATCGTGATGGGGTTGTTCGCATATGCTTCCATCTACGACATGGAGTCGCATCGACAGGATGCAGCACTCACCAAGCTCGGGTTGGACCTTGTACTGCTCTGGTTGTTGCTCCAGATGGAGAACAATCCGGATTTTGACCGGTGCATCGCCTTTCCGCCGAATGGTGAAGCCATCTAGTTGTGGTTGGTTCGGACCACCTATCCACTATAAGCCGCAGACCGTCAATAGAGCAGAACGGTGCAACTAAGGGTGCTCGATTATGATAGCCCCTGGCCACTGGCCGCGTCGATGCCATCGATGGGGACTGATGGGCTAACCGAGATGAGCCATTCAACTGTTCTTCGATAACTCTGCAGCGATGCTGGCACTGGTCCCCCCGCACGAAGTCCCTCCACGTTGGTGTCGGTAGACCCGTGGGATGGGAAGGAACGCGAAGCCCGACGTCGTGCGCATGTCAGATGCAGGGCGCTCGACTAGTCCCTCAGTCGCCATCAATTGGCTCTCAACGCGGCCGGTGGCCAGTCGCCACCATAGTTAAGCACCCCTACTGAGTGGACTCATGTTCTCGACCAATGAGTACCCACCTCAACAATGTTGCCTTCGGGATACAAGGTGGTGTCGCGGTCAAGTTCCACAATCATGTGCTTGATGAGGGTGGAGAACTTCCGTGGGGGGTTCCGATCTTTTGCCCGCTGGTTCGACAGCTTGACAGAGGACAGCCATGAAGCTGCGGGTGTCGTGGTGAACCGAGAAAAGGAGCGCGTACCTCGAGCATCCGTCCATCTATCCTCAACTGCCATGCAGGGATGTTCTCCCCCGTTTCGGGGTTCGGCTTAGTAGCATCGCCCTCCACGCCTTCGCGTTGCCATGGCTGTCCCGAGACAGTGTGGCTCAAGAATATCCGGAGCGTCCGCGTCGCCTGTCCGCAAAAAGCCACACCCGATCATCCTCGTCAACATCTCATCGAGTTTTCTCCAGTCGAAGAGCTCCGAATCCTAGCAGTTGCCGCAGAGACACGACGCATTCCCGCGCCACCGAGAACGAAAGATCACTCACCGGAATGATCCTCTGCAGCGCGTCGTGCACCTCGACTCGCTTCCTCGTCATCGTCCAGTCGAGCTTGCGCTCCATCTGGAGCAGGTCCCTGTACATCGCCGACTCCTGCGCGAACTCGGGCGACTGCAAGAGCCCGTTGGGAAGGTTCTTGTCGGTGATTTTGCGCTTCCTGTCATCGGCAGAGGTCGAGTTTTGGCTGAGAGAGGGGCGTGAGGAGAAGAAGGACGAGAGGGCATACTTTGCGGCAGGCTTCTGGGCCTCCATGGTGCAAGTACGGTTGTAAGCGGGCAGCAGCGCGTGCTACAAGCGGTTGTTCTTCGGGCGTCCGTTCGGGGAGAAGTCAAAGGCGCGAGGAGCGAGGCGCGGCTCGATACAAGCTCGTGCGTTTACAAGGACAAGGCAAAGGAGAGCACCGGCGGCAGGTTCGACTGTGGGACCCACGCGCGTCTATCTCACGTGTTTGATTCTCTGGTTCGGTTCGCTTTCCTTGGATTTGCACGACGCTCTAAGCAGCATAACATCATGATTGGTCTATTACAGTACACTGAACCGTGGGGCCCAAACATCGCTCCTGGGATACCTCCTCCAATCCCATTCAAAATACTTCAGGCCGCCAAAACTCTAACGCAAACCGATTCGGTAGATTCACCGGCGTGGAAGGCATGTCGGAGGAATGGTATACGATTTCTGTACTGTTAACTTTCTCAGAAGTTTCCCGTGTCATCGTACTTGATCCCCAGTGAGAACCTTCCCTGTTGCTCACGATTCTCATCTTTTTCGGCCCGTTTCAGTCCGCCCAAAAGGCAGAAGTAGTCAGATATCCACATGTATGTAGGTGAATGCATATATATCCGTCCATATGCACACAAAAAGCTATTTGCCGTTCATCGTCTTTTCCCATCTGTCTCCGTCTGTTCCCATCTGTCTCCGTCTGTTTGCATATTTTTCGCCCGATATCTGTATGTTCCACTCTATTGAACGCCTGGCAAAAATATAGGAACAGAGTGCAACAGTCCTATACAGTTGGGGCTCGTTGCGCTTGGGCACCAGATCGAACGGATATATGTATTTATGGGTGGTTACTCTACGATACAAATTTCGCATTACATAATAATACGCTACTCCCCGCGCCCGCGCATCGCGCCAAGCCCGCGTACAGTGACTTACCACGACGTGCTCTAACCTACTGCGTTGCTGCACCCGCGCGACTTACCTGTATGCTGTGTGACAGCGAGTAACGCACTCACCTGTGTTGACGTGTATAGACAGCGATACCCTACCTGTTAGCGAGGCTCACGGTGAATGAGAGTACCGAGGACAGAAAGGGATGGTGAGAGGAGGGAAGAAAGGGCGCAGAGATGGGAGGACGGCTTTCGCCCACTATATATATAGAGCATTGCGAACACCGATGGCGTCATGGACGAAGGAGCTGGGGACGAGATCGTAAGAATGGATATGGTAGGATAACCGTCGGTCGGCACACAGGGAGGCATATATGTAATAGATGTGGATGGAACAGTATATATACATCGGACACCGGTTTAATACTATCGATCGACGTCAAACGGCCCATTGTACATATAGAACGGCCCATTGTATATATAAAACGAGCCAATCGATGTATGAAACGAGCCATTTTAGACGCCGAGCTGTCATCCAAATCGCTCCGAAAAGACGGCATCAGACGGCAATAGCCAGCAATCTTTGGCAATAGGCGGGGTTTTCACTGGGCTTGATCCGAGAGCCGCGATGTCTAGTAAAAACCGGGATAGAAGGATTGTAACGAGCCTGGATCGTACGTTGGTTAGCCGGGACGAACTGACAGACGATTTGTGAACTCACGAACTTCTGTACGAACCCAAGACATCTGACAGTGTCGTCCCAAGGATTTTCAACTCCTTCCGTGCAGCCGGTGAGCATAACAAGGCTGAGGGAGTAGAACCAAGAACGCACGACCAAGTCTGCTGCGAACATCACCCCGTTCGGGATGAGGTGAGCCAACGAAACATATCATGCCTATCCCATTGCATCCCATGTAAGTGTACTTTTCCAGTTGATAGTTATAAAAGCTCACCATTTCTCAAGAGCACGAAAGGCAGGGATGGTGTACCTCGAAGGGATGTTCCCTGAGCGGGATGATATTGGTTGACTGTTTTGGGCCAGGTGAAGGCTATGACCAATAGTTCTGACACGACGAATGAGGTCCTCGACACAATCGTCACTGTACGGGAATATACAGTCGAGTACTGTTGAGAGGTAGATCCTTTGACTCATGCTTGCTGAAGTTCTCCATTGAGTGTCTAGAAAACGTGACAAATGATCCGACTCGCCTCGCTCTGTTCGCCCGTAAGTCCAGGGGCTTGGCGTAACAGTCCGCTGTATGTGGTAGGCATCCAAGGTGAACCGTTCGTATCAGATCGTCCTGTGACAACGTTTGAGGACCCTCTCAAGTGACTGCCAACCACGGCTCACTATATTTGGCAATATGAATACCGCGCTCAATAAGAAGACAACCCATCCTATGAGAGCATTTCTTTCTGCGAGGGCGTATGTCCGATAACCAGTGAACGCTGAGATCTCTGGAAGTCAGTTAACCCGTCTTGTGAGCCGCTGTTGCTCTCCTACCAGCCCACGATACGTTGGGAAGTATCGTTGTGACCTCTTCGAGGATATATAGCTCAAACACCCTAGCAGTCTCTTCTGATCAACGGCCCGCCCGCATATTAGGTTCGATAGAGCTTACATACGTTTGTAAGGGAATCCTATGAGTATACAAACGGCCGTACCTGATATATCCATCCATACCCATACTCACCTTTTCTCTACAATCACCATCACCAAAGAGTATGATGAGGTAAACCACTGCACTCGCCAGTTGTGACCGTACCGATTGACGATGTACAGCAAGTCTATGGAATGAAGCTTGCGTCTCCAGTTAAGTCTTACTTCGCGTGTCGCGGTGACGATTGTGTCGTATATGAGCAGTACTGAGCATTCAAGAGTCACTATCAGTGCTGCCCCAGGAGGACTCGGCGGTCATTGAGTCACCCAATGCTGAAAGTATCAGCTGCTGTGTATGCACACTGCTGTAGACGTGAGCCAGCATCCATGACAAGACGTGCACGGCCGCTTACCTTACCAGAGCAATTTCTTTGGAGCTTGCGCGCACGCCCTGCAACATTTTGTGCCGGGGGTTCACTTAGGGCTGTAATAGGTAGTCAACTAGTCATGTCAGATCGTACGATGCGTTATATGAGTATATATACACATGAGTTAGCTTTGACTGAAACCTGACCTGTTCTCGGCAACCCTAAGCCCCATTCACAGCCTGGGATCAATCATGCAGGTATCTCACTTGGGTCTGAAACGCCGGCACTCCCACGCATCGGATTGTACTCCACGCCGAGATTGAACTTTAAGCAATGAGTTGGCAGCAATAGCACGCTTTGGGCGCATTGTACTTGAATATGATGGGCTTCCGAGGACCCTCATGAGCACCATGCGGTGTTGAGTGATAGAATCTGGCTAGGAAACACTGACAACTATGCATGTGGGTGCGCAGTGCGGAAGCGGTGAAAGCGTAACACGAGTTCTGATGGTTGAGCAGTGAGACTGATATGATAGCCAACTTCGCGAGGTTCGAGACCAACCACAAAAGGCTGCCTTGGATCGCCATTAGTTGAATCTCCGGTTCTCTAATCATCCATGTTGCTTCAAGGCTCAAGAGTCCATTGGTCCTATTGCCAGCCTTCAGGAAGAATGGTCAAGGCGACATGAGTGCAACCGGTCGCACCCTCGTGCCAATGCCGCAGGAGACTGTACTGTTGGTTGAACGTCGGACATACCACGATGTGTACTCCTGTCTGTGACACCTGACCTTCAAGGCGCAGACTTTTACATAAGGAAACGTGGCCACTTCGGGGGAGATGCGATACCATATGTCGAAATACGGGTATCTCCTCTACACTTAGCTTCTGCTGCGCTCTCACAGTTACTCAGGTTGTCTTCTTTGGCTTTCGTGGCATACAATCACCTCTATATCTCATCTGAGGCTGACTAGAAATACACAGATGCTATGTGGCTATTACACGGATTCTTTGATGTGTCATCCAGAGGGCCGATGGGTGATATCTCTGACCGCCAGAACTCTATTGCGTGCCAGTCAGGCGGATTTGCTGCGGAAGGCACGTCTGATCGATGGACCGTGAATTGTGTACTAATCGCTTCTCCAGATGCATCCAGTAATACCGTATCTGTGTTGAGACGGAGGGCCCCCAAATCTAACAGGAAGCGAGAAAGAATGATTGTAGTCAATCTGTCGTCTACTAAGTCAGTGGGTGAAGGCGATCGCGGAGGACATCCTATACACGCACGCATTTCTGTAAGAACCAAGGACATCTGAAACACTGATTAGTCCTCCGTCTACTTGCCATTCCTTGAGTGGAGCAGGTCAGGAATATACACAGCAAATGAGCTTATGGAGGACGCACGGTCGAGTCCACTGCCAACATCACACCATTTAGCGTCACCGAGCTTACGAAACAGATCAAGCCTGACCGTTCCTCGTGGCTTTAGTGCAGTGATGTTAAGACAGTTATCGGACACATACCATTCTTAAGCAGTATCCTTAGGAGAGCTGATCCGCCTTTTGGAGACATCCCTCGGGAAAGATGGTGTTTGTTGAGCGTCAGGGCTATGACGACCAGCTCGGACATAACAAAAATAGTTCTTGGAATGATGACCACTACGTCCGGTTCAGAGACAGGTGAGAGCTTGAATCTGCGACGTAGGCTCACTGGAGTGCCACCTTTAGCCACCAGGCAATGTCAATGGTGATGCCACTCACCGCATTTTGTTAATATGCGCATTGGGCCAGGAAAGACAGTCCTGAAGAGGCTCAGGGAACGAACCCTGACCATTTCTCAACACAATGATCTATCGTAGCTTATGGATGATGTGTTGAAAAGACCGAATATGGTGGCGCACTCACAATGTTGGGCATTATGAACATTGCGCTCATCGCAAATACAATCCATCCCAAAAAAGCGTTGCCTTTCGCGAGGGCATACGACCGATAGCCCGAAAATGCTATGATCGGATTGTCAACAAACGGAGAGGCAATGATGTGTCCCATCTCCTCTCACCTGCCCAAGAAAGGGAAGGAAGCAAAGACATGACTTCTCCAAGCGCGTTAAGTGAGTAGCACCTAGCATATTTTCACGATCAGTACCGTTTCAGGTTCGAGACGCCAGAAGAGACACACGTCTATGAGAAAAAGTCGTGAACATTCAATGTATACAAAAGATAAAGCTTTCTATGATCACCTTATAATTATAGGGAGCGAAACTGATGATGTTGATCAGTGCGTACGCCACTTGACCGTACCGGTTCACAAAATACAGGAAGTCGATGAAATGAAGCCTGCGTCTCCACATAATCCTCGCTTCGGGCGCCATTGTAAGGACCGTGTCATATAATAGCACTACTGCGGGACCTTTAGTCCTCATTGCGAGTACGAAAGGAGCTGAGCCCACCGGAGGATGAGAGTAGCAACTGTCGTGAGCTGCTCAACATATGAGGTAGTGTTTGCATGTGTTACAAGAACTCTTACATCATAGCACCCTCACGCCACCCTGCGCTTTCGTCTTGCGACATCTGATGTCGATGTAGGCGGGACGTCAAGGGGATAAGAGATCGTTAGGGTGGAGAGCGTCGTACCGAGTGAGGCTGGGGAACAAGGCTGGGAGATCGGGTATATACATGACTGAGCATTGATTGATAACCATCTGCCGCAGCCTTATACCCCATTCATCTCGGAGCATTGACTTCGAAAACTCTGTGTGACCGGTAAATTAAGAGCGATCACACCGGGACTCCGCCACGCACCGCCCCCAGGAACTGCAGACGCACATCTCGATAGCACGTGTAGGGGTTCATCGCCTTGCAAGTACAAAAACACCGCCTTACGGTGAATAGCGAGACAGAAAGACTCACGGTAAACGACGTGTGACCTTCCTGACTTGCCTAAGAGTAACATATGGCGTGGAGTGATAGGAAGGGGCCAAATACTCCCCCCTCACCTGGCATCTGGAAATGCGACGGCGAGGCAGGCTGAAGCGCTAGACTTGATACCTGATCGTGGCACTGAAACTGATGTGAGGCGTGAGACGAGATAGTCTTGATCACAACAGATGTGAGCCGCATGAATCCCTCACCTTGTGCTGCCGTGCGTTTGTCTCTTCAACTTCGCGAACAACTGATCCCTACGTTCGACCAAATTCCCAGCCTTCTCAGAGAGCGTTTAAGACGACGTAGGAGAACGGTGCAGCTAACGCAGAAGTCATATAAGCTGTAGTGTTAGCTGATCTACCCAGTGTCCAAGATAATCGGTCGGTTCTATGACGAGGCCCGGGCACGGAAAGGAGGGTGCCTTCTGGTCAATGTATGATGAATAACGTCCACGAGGATGACGGGCTGCTCAGTAACGCACCAACGGAGAAGCAAAATCTGCTCAGAGGTATTGAAAAAGGGCAGATATATGCGCTGCAGGATGACTCCATCTTCGAGTAGCTCGAAATACCGGCACACGAACAATTACAAGATATAGTACGAACGATGGCAAGGCAAACTTTTAGGCGCCCTATTCCGCGTCCTGACGACCAGACGCCTGTCGTTCCCTTTTCGGCCTCAGCCTTCTATGTACTATATATCATGATCACTGGTGTGCCGCGTCATACTCTTCTGCCTCCACCGGACCTGCACTGCCCACCGTTGCCTAAGACACAGCCGTCACCACAGCTTCGCTCGGAGTATTCTTTGCAAAAATGTCAAGCACCGACGTTGCCAGCGGCGACGGTATCGCAGATCGGCCGTCGACTCAGCATGTGGGAAGGCTCTCATATGATGTCCTGATGCACGTCTTAAGCTGGCTAGACGATGACTATCCTTCGTTGTATTCCTGCTCTCTGGTGAATAGGGTATTGAGGGATGCCGCTGCGGTCTACTTGTACAGAAGTATAACGTATTCACCGCCGCTCAGTCCTGTCTTGAATTTGAAGCAGCAGAAGCAGGACGATTTTGAGGTACGCTCGAGCTAGGCGCATGATTGATTCAGCTCAAATTCTCCCTTAAGGAAGGTGTCTTTGCTTCAGCACTGCTTCCGCACAACGCGTCCCTTGTCCGTCGCTTGGAAGTCAGCGGTGAGTCATCCCGTTCCGCATCTCCACCGTAGCCCATCCCCATTTATTGCAGGATTCCTTCCCACGAGACCGGCTCCATTGAGCAAATTCACCAGTCAACTCAAGGTTGCCGTCGAGTGTTGGCCTAATATTCAGTCGGCCACCTTCACCCCTTGGCGACATGGCGAAGACACGTTCGGAGACGCCCTGATGCTGCTGAATTCGCGATCGTCTTTGCGACATCTGGTAGTCAAGGCTACGTGTTTGACAGCAGGAAACGTCGCCACTCTCGTGCAATTGCGAAACCTCCAAAGCCTCTCGATAGGTTCACCCAGTCGCGCCATACTACAGGTTCTTCCTGAATGGTTGAGGCAATTGCAGTCGACTCTGCGAAAACTTGGTTTGACGGCAAGTCTGGTACCTTAGGCCCCGCTCTGTACGTCGGGTTAGAGTACGATAGGTCCAGATTCTCCTGCCCAACTGCCGCAACCGCTCAGGGCCTCACTCCCATCACTGAGCGGCTACTAACTCAACCCTTCCATGATCCTCTCCGACGTACCGAACGGGGCCTTATTCTCTACATGCTGCTAACCGCGCCTCATGTATAGGAAAGTTGCGGGTCGGTGACGCCCGGAGTCCTTCGTTCTTTCCTTCCGTACATGCACGACATCACGTCGTTCACCCTCGGTCTCTCCTACTCGCTCACCGACGATGACGTGTTCCTTTTCTGGGAAGATCTCCCTTCACTACAAACACTCGAGTTCCGCTACTACCTCGTGAGTCCTCGTGCTCTCTACCAGTCCTGCAACTGATTCAGGAGCCATCAGCAAATGCGTCCTGTGGGGACTCCGCGCCTATCTCATCTGCGCTGTCTGACGGTGCATTGTAACCACGTGAAAACTAGCGGCGATGCTGCGTACCTGTACAAATGGGTTCGCCGAGTTATTACCTACGCGCCGCTGGTCTCCCTGCGTATCCTTTGTAGACGCGAACCCTGGGGCGCTGCTCCGTCGTTCGATCCGTTACTGGAACATCTCATCGCCAGACATGCGCAACGGCTGCGCGTTCTAGACATTCGCGAGTTCTTCGTAGGGAAGAAAGCTTTGAGTAAGCTGTGCGACAAGTGCACCCAGCTCGAGACGCTGTTTGTGACCGTCTCTTGCGATGCACTGGTATGACTTCTCGGTTGTTCCCATCTATCACAAGCATTAACCATCTTCTGCGCAATGCAGAAGGAGTTTCAGTCTGACCCGACCGTGTTCCGGTCTCTGCGTCAGTTGGGCTTGAATACACGAACCAGCAAGAGCCGAAGGAGCATCAGCACGACAGCCGCGGAAGCTTTCATGAAGCGTCTGCCATCCCTGAGGCGTCTCGTGGTGAACGGCTCGTGTTTTGAGGTGAGATTGTCGTACATTCCTCGGGTATGATCTGTCATTCACCTCGGATCTTAATAGGGTACCTGGGCTGCGGATATGTCAGAGGCCGCCACATACGTTGTGCATCCGGTCGACATTACAGTACGGTTGTTCCCCTGGGAGAGGGGCACTGTTTATGGTCAACCAAGCTACGAAAGACCTCTTGATTGGTTTACGTAGCTCAATGACATCTGCGGCTCTCGATAGCTTATGGCACATCGGCAGCGAGGATGCATCAAGGCAGGCACAGCATTTGAGTTCTCTAATCTCGACAAGGGAGTGTATTCTACTCTGGCGCCACATTGCCCTTATGTCACAGCGTGCTTCGGTGCTAATAAACCACACTTTCAGACTATCCTGTACCGGGTCTTCTGCAGCCCACCCATGCGGTGTTGCAGCGGCGGTGCGCCTTCTTTTGTGACCCCGTTGCTCGGCTCGGCTTTTGCCCGCGGCTGGCAGACGGCCCGCTGTTACGAGGTGATGCATATCCCACGGCCTGCCAATGCCAAACATAGCGCGTGCGACTAGCCGGACGTATGCCACCATCAACACCACTGAACGTTCGTGGGCGGATCGAAATTGACTTGGCTCGGACCGAGTACTTAAGGCTTGCAGCCTGATATCTTGCAGCAGCCCAGCGTAGAGAACCCATTTCCCTCATTGACCACAACAAGCATGCAGGCGGTTCTCAGTCTCGCGCTCCTCCTTTTCGCTGTCCTCGTGCTCAAACATCGATCACAAGCGCGAAGAGGATTGCCCCCTGGGCCGAGCGCATTGCCTGTCCTGGGAAGCGTTCATAACCTCACATTAGAGTTTCAACACAAACGTTTTCTGGAATGGAGCAAGGACTTCGGTGAGTGGACTCATTTGACCATTTGGCGGGAGCGGAGATTGATCCGTGAGTGCCTGGGGCAGGAGACGTAATATATTTCAAGCTATTCCGCACGCCGGCCATTGTGCTGAACTCGCTCGAGAGCGCCAGAGAGTTGTTGGACAGGCGCAGCGCGAAGTACTCGGACAGGACGCGTGCCGTGCTCTTGGCAGAGTTGTGAGGACCACCGTCATCCCTTACGTATAATGCGAAGCTCATCTGACATTCCCGCGATCGAAGGATGGGCCATGATTCCGCCCTTCCTTTCCTTCGCTACGGTGAACGGTTTCGCAGACATCGGCGCTGGATGCACGACGCCATCGGAAGTAGGGCGTCGATCCAGAAATACCGCCCCATCCAGATTCGAGAAGTCCATTTACTGCTACGGAGCCTCCTCAAGAATCCAGAAGCATTTATGGAGCACCTGTATAGGTGAAAATCGCCTTCTTGAACTTCACGGAGCGCTTGGAAATCTCATCCTTTTCTAAGATATGTAGCCGGCACGCTTCTGGAAATTACGTATGGTCAGCGGTTAACGTCTATGGATGATCTGATTGTGCAATTGGCGGAGCGAACCGTGAACGCGACGAATGAGAGTGGGAGTCCCGCTTCTATGCTGGTCGATTTCTTCCCTATATGTGAGTCCACCGTCAGAGTTCGCGCGCAGAAACACGTACTCACCCTGACTGTTTCGTCATGTACCTCGCAGTGAAGCACCTCCCTACGTGGTTACCCATCGCTAGCTTCAAGCGGCACGCATTGAAAGCACGCGCAGACCTGAAGGCATGGCGAGAAACAGGTGTCAATATGGTCAGATCCGCTATGGTGAAACCGAACTCAATAATCACCCAGTATGTGAGGCAGAGGATTGACCAAGTAACACAGGCTTCTGGAGCTTCGTCATCATGTGTAATCTCCGCATTACTTGAAGCTCACCAGGGCCATCTCGGCGACGAAGAGCTTGGAGAGATCGGAGCCATCGGGGTGGATATATACGGTGGTGAGTTGCCCCCCTCTGTAATCAATATTGGGAGCTCACGACGTTGGCCTGCAGCGGGTACGGAAACGGTTGGCTAACGGTTTTCACCTACCTTCTCTATCGTATCCCTGGCTAACGATGCTCATTTCTGCCAGACATACGGCAGTCTGGCCTCTTTTGTACTCGCCATGGTACGGAGTCCGGATGTGCTGCGGAAGGCCCAGAAAGAGTTAGATGAAGTTGTCGGCCCGACACGGTTACCAGACTTTGCGGACCGCGAATCTCTACCATACCTGAATGCTGTCGTAGAGGAGGTCTACCGGTATGTGAGCCAAGGATCCTGGTCTACCGTCTTGCTGAACGCCGTATCGCTTAGATGGAACCCCGGTCTTCCTCTGGGTATGGATACGTTATCGACGTTACCACGCACTTCGATTGACCTTCTATCCAAAGCAATTCCTCATAGAGCAATGACAGACGATCAATATCGCGGCTACGACATTCCGGAAGGATGCATGATTATGCCCAACATATGGTCCGTGACTTCTGCACTTCTTTCATCGAGGATTGACTGCCAACATGTTTGCTCGCATTTACTTGATAGGGCAATGTCTCGCGACGAGCGGTACTATCGGGAGTCCGAAGATTTTCGTCCTGAGCGGCACTTGAACGAAACCGGCGACGCGATTGCCCAAGAGCGCGAGTTGCCGCATAGTTACGTTTTCGGGTTCGGTCGCAGGTGAGGCGGCAACTCGTCGAGTGCAAAATCAGCACTGAACGTAGTATGTCACTGCATAGGGTTTGCCCTGGGCAAGCATTCGCAGACGCTACACTATGGCTCGCTATAGCCAGTCTTATAGCAACGCTTGACATACGCAAAGTCGTTGACCCCTCTGGTGCCGAAATCACCCCTCCAGCTTCGTTCAAGCCTGGTTTCACAAGGTCGGTACCAGTTGGTCGCTCAGGATTCCGAGTGCCATTCCCTGATCCTTGCCAAATAGCCAACCTCAGCCGTTCCCATGCAAGATTGTGCCGCGCACAGAGATGATAGCAGCTGTGATTTCTCAGCTGGACGTCTAACCGGTGGTCGATTTGAACTGTGTACAATAGGAGTCTCAGCGAATTCGAGTGCTAAGCATAGGAGCCGCTCAAGCATATTTCATCCTCCGTTCCTCATTCAGCCCCCGCCCCTTCGTCCGATTATTGTCGGACGCTGCATTACCGTGGCGTCGAGTTGTGGAGTCCTGCGCAGCCCGTCGGTGGAAGTCTGAGACTCGCGCTTCGCCTGACAATGTCCGAGGGGCTTGTCTGCAGTGACGGGCTTCGATAGAGGACTTCATGAACACACGCCTGCATAGCCTGGCGGCAATATATAGATGCGATACAGGTTGCCATCTTCAAATCGCGTGGAGCACAAGGGCGTTTTATCCACCTACGCAGCTGTCGGTCTTGACTATACGATTCAGTGACCAAGGAGAACGCTTCGCACTGGGCGTCGGTTAGTAGACCAAGTGGCACAGGATCCCAGCTTGTTCAGGCTATCTCAGTCGGCCCAGGACTAATCACATCCGTTCGTTATAAATAACATGCAGATTGCACGGACTAAACCTTGCATACACTGAAGCTGATCTACGTGCAGCTCGTGGATGGCGATATGCATAACAGTCTTGCGTAAGATTGCGCGCGCAAAAGATTACAGTATAGATCTGTACCGCAAGTCAGACAGGTCTCCTAAAATTGGACTGACCTGCCGTGAGAAACAAGGACATAGTGCTGAGTAGTGCTTGTAACGCTCACCAGCAATCCCGAAAGTTACCGCAGCTAGGGAAGGGTGGGCGATTTCCGTTTCTGAAACAAGGAAGCGTGTCATTCGAACACGTTTTGCAACTGCTCAACATGGACGAGTCACCTGCCATACGATACCGAATACCCTCTTGAGCATGTCCCGGCTCTCCCCATCTGGGAACGTGTATATCGAGGAGCTTTGGAAACCGTTTCCACAGATCCTTCCTTTCCTCCCAGCCGAGCTCCTCGAGCATATCCATACATCGGTCGCATACTACTAGCTCCAACTTCCCGTATTCCACCAGGTTTAGGATGGACTCGAACGGGTCTCCCGCAATCATGTCCTCTGTGCATGTGTCGAGGGACTTGATCATATCCTGGAGCGTAGACGAGCATGATTCCGAAGAAGTGCATAGCGGCGCTATGGAGTGGGTGAATGTGCGCAACACAGCCGCCACCACAGCTATCCGTATGCGGGTCTTCGTCTGAAAGCAGAGACCGAGATCGCGCAGAGCGAGCGTTTCCCTGACCCCATCCTCGCAGATGAAGCCTTGGAAAATCTCCGCGTTCAGCATGGTGCACTGCACAAGAGCGACAGGGAAAAAAGAGAGCTCTCCGGTAAGCCGCGCCAGATTAACAACTCCTATCGCTTCCACCTTCTTCCAGCCAGGGGGCGTCGCAAAATCAAAGTCTTCCAGAGCGTCGAAGCTTGGCGTATAGTGATCCTTGAGGAAGCGCAGGGCCTGTGCGTACAGTCCGGTGAGCTGGTACTTCCGCCCCAACCTGATATACGCTGCGATCTCCCCAAAGGAAGGTTTGTAAGAGACATAGCTGTGTGGTCATCAGCAAGTTACAAGAAAAAATATGAGATTAAGACCAACCGAAGTGATTGTTTTCTTGGCATGTACGCTCGAAGCACATGTCTCACGTCGCCCGAAGAGTCAGATAGCTGCACGACGGGACACGGATCGAGTTGCCCAGGGAAGGCATGCGTTGGGTGCACCTGAGCGAAGATATCGCGCAGAGCAGGTGATTGATCTTCGAGAAGACCTTTGTATACGCGAAACTCCAATTCTCGAGTAGCGAGTATGACAGTGCCGTCAGAAAACCAAAACTCCTTGTCCTCGTGGCAACTTGAAGGTGGCGGGGCAAGCGCGAGTGACGACGAGTCCTTCCAACTCAAGGAACTTGTGGCGTCACCGTCATCGCCTGAGCGTGACCGTTTTCTTGGTGCTCCGGTGTACATAAGTTGTAAACGGGTTATAGTGATGTGCGTGCTGGCACGGGGCAGGGCGCAGCTCTGGTCGCGAATAGTATAGAGCGCTTCATGCGGTTATGTAAGCTCAACGTGCCGCTCAAGTGGCCGGGCCGCTATCGACAAATTGACTACGAGGCCTTCTCAGCTTGTAACCAACCTCACACAACTTCGTGCTTGAGACTCAGCATCCCTTGCGTGCAATGTCCCAGTCTCCACCTTCTCGTAAGCGACTGCGCATGGAGTTGGAGGAGTCTGTGCCGCCTGTCGAGAAGCGCGAGCCTGAGGAAAGCCAACGTTTATCACTCTCCAACCTGGATCCGGCAACAGGACGAGCATGCGATGTCCCAACACTCGTGAAGGACCACGAATTCTGGTTTGACGATGGCACGGTGCTCATTGTCAGCCGAGGCGTCGAGTTTCGTGTCTACAAAGGTCTTCTCGCTGACCACTCCGTCGTATTCAAGGAGCTGTTTTCCCAGCCCCATTCACACCATACGCTCTCCATCAGCGACGAGCAGACTATCAGATGTCCTTTGGTGCACGTTACGGAATCTCCCCAGGAACTGAGGCACCTCCTTCGAGTCTATATGCCGAGGAAGGGGAGGAGGTTCGTAGACTCTCGTTGCGGTGTGGAGACAGTCCCCGGACTGACGGATGTCGTCCGCAACCATAGCTTCTGGGATGTTCCTGGTCCCACGTATGAGGAGATATCCGCGTCGATACGCATGGGGCACAAGTACGATCTCAAGGAGCTGTACGAACAGTCGCTCGCATTCCTGAAGCGCCATTACACCACCGATCTCCGTGTCTGGGCCGAGTCAGACTACTACACGCCCCCAGGCTGGAAGGAGATCTACTCGATCGGAGTCGTGAACCTCGCCCGTCTCGTTGGCGAGACCTCCATCCTCCCCACAGCGCTCCTCGCGTGCACCGTGATGAACGCGGAGATCGTCCGCGGCTTCACGTACGAGGACGGCTCCCAGGAGACGCTCTCCCCAGACGACCTCGGGCTCTGCTTCCAAGCCAAGTCGCGCGTCAGACAGGCGAGCATAGGCGCTGTCGTGCGCACCTTCCGGCGCTCGGTCGCGCCAGGCTGCAAGCAGGCCGCGGCGTGCAAGTCCGCGCTGCGCACAGCGCTGCACGGGCTCGAAGCGTTCATAGACAAGCTGGTCTTGGACGACCCGTTCTTCCCGTTCGAGGAGTTTGTGAAAGACAGGAAGCTTGGGGTCTGCGAGTTTTGCATGAGGTTAGTGAGGCAGCGGAACTGGAACGAGCGCGTGGCAGTTTGGAACTCGCTCCCCGGGCTCTTTGGTCTCGATGTTCCCGGCTGGGGAAACCCACTAGGCCAGCCACCACCAGGAACGCAAGTGCCTGCGCCACCGCCGCCGCAGCCGCCACAACATCCACCACCACCTCCAGTCTGCTTTACGAGCTGGTGAGGTACCTATTGCTTGCTCCATGCACGAATGACTCTAATAGGCACCACTCCGCTGCTCATCTCGGGCCCTTCAGACGTATGTGAATGCACGGAAGGAATTATTGCTTCCTAGGCGGTTGTGATGGTTGACAGTTCCTTACAATCGCACAGCGTTCTCATTCGTGGTTCAATTGACTGACTAGCAATAAAATGGTTCGGCGCCAAAGAGCTGAAGGCGTGGGCTTGTATGCGGTCGACCCGACGGCGCGAGCCGCTGCTGGCGACCCTTGACCGCTACCGCGGGCAGCTATTCTTGGGCAAGTCACTAACAAGACCATTGCAGGCAAGAGAAATTGAACAGGCCATCGCCAAGTCCGAGGCAGGCTTGGACATGAGCACGCTCAGTGGTAGTACTTTCCCACATAGGGCGAGAGCTCCAGCCAGACCTCTTCAAGGACCTTGACAACCTGCTCGGCTGTGGTGGAGGTCTAGAAGTGAACATAACTGTAGTGGAGCGATGACTTTGGCGTTACTTACGAAGGGACCCGTTCGTAAGGTCAATACAGTTCCGTGACGCAGGCCCCCTAACAGCAGACATCTTCCTACGGTCTCGATGTCGGCCAGCTCGCGGAGGTGTGGCTGGTTTCAGTACCGAACGCGGTACAGACTCTCCTGGGACGTAAACAAGTTAAAACGCAAGCCCGCCTCGCTTTCGTCTTGCGGGGGGCGGCAGCGGTCCGGTACACCATGGGCTGCACTGCAACCTTCGAGGCCATGTAGCTGGGTTGGGAATTCCAAAGCGCTTGAACTTGTCCTCCTTGTAGAGCTCGTTCGACGTTGACCGTGCGCGGAGTGTCTTCATCCGGTGCCTTGCAATCCGGGCCGTGGAGATACTACAAGTCAATGGAGCTGTGTGTTTGTGTTGCGAAACGGGAGGCGAGAGGGTGTATTGCATGCGCATTCGGTCCGAAGGCGCTTCAGCGAGATACTCAACCGTCAGTGTATGAATGCATGTAAAAACATGGGACAGAAACAAGCGCCGACTAGCATGTGTCGAAGAAGTGACGTCACGAATCACGCATTGTTCGCATCAGAGTCACGTCCGTAGGGCTCGACTCGTTCAACATCAGCAAAAAAGCGAAACAGATGGTCAGTGCTGACCAGGTTCCGCAATTCTGACCAGATTGGGCAAGGTATGAGAAGTAGATGGTAAACCCGTACCAAATCCGCCAGGTGTGGTCTGCAATGGCCAGATGCCGCGGGGCGCCTGGACATTGATAGCCATTTCTCGCTGAGCATTCGGACAGCAGCTACCATATCATAGGGGAACTAAGGTCAATGATGTACAAATTTGACTGAGCCAATGAACATACACGGTCAGTATCTGGTGCAAATCCTACCATGGATGCCCAAGCTCACGCGAAACCATGCTCAGGAAGTAGCTAACAAATTATCACGCGATTCGAGTTTGTGTTTACAATAATCACTGATAATTGGACGCGAACTACTATACATGGAAGAAGGGAGACATGGAGTTTACTTACGCACACCTAGTGTACACAAAAGAAGGAGGGGTTAGGGTTAGTAGGACTGGCGCTAGCTGAGCAACAGCAAGGACGATTCCGAGACGCAAAGTTACAAGTACACGACAATGTCAATGCAAAACACGAAAGGTCAGTGAGGCGACAAGGCTTACGGAGAGGGAAAGAGCGCAAAGGAATAGTATGCGCACATTGGACATACCTAGATGTCGAAGCCAGGGGGGTGGAACCTAGACATTAGTAGCTATGGTCCTCTTTTCACGACTCACAAAATCAGAGCCCAAGGGGCATGTTGTAGAACTGGCATGTTGTAGCGGGTGATAGGGGAGGGATGCGAAAGTGGTGTCGAGAGGTGGGGGTTTTGCAAGTGAGGGTTCAGGGCAGGGCTGGCAGAATGACAGGCCATTGATTGAGTTGCAAGCCTAGAAAACGCGTCATCGATGAGCAAGATCGAAAAATTATCAGTGGAGAGCACACGTAGAAAGAAGGCAGGGTGCGGATCGTGAAGGGAACGTCACCACACCGGGCAGACGCTCAGAATATTGGCTGTGGACGATGTCGTCCACAGCGACAACACCATCTGACAGCACGCGACACTGCTGAGTTGCCCCGTACTCACACGCTCTGCCCGCATCGGCACTTCAAGCTTCAGCCCCGTGTTCTACCATTGGGCCGGCCGGCTTCTACACCCTGCAATCTGACATGCCGCCGCATGCCGCCACTCATAACTGTGGCGGCCGATGCGTAGATGAGGAGGCGAAGAGTGCGGAGGCGGAGAGAAGGATGGAGGAGGACGAAGAGCGTGCTCGGGAGAGGGAGAAGGAGATCGGGGAGATGTTGGTAAGGAGGAGCGGCTGTGGTACATCGGAGCGAAGGTCTCGATGTATCCGCACTTTCTCTAATGACAAGTGAGTGGTATGAAGTAACAGTACAGGGTGAGTACCTACCTACCATTGCCGGGATCCTTCCGCGCAGATGCTCAACGGCCGGAGTCCGTCGGACGAGATGGGAGTCGGCCGTGATTAGTAGGCGCTTGCGGTCTCCGGAAAGGGTAGGCCAGTTTCGGGCGCCGTGGTCATGGATGACCATTGTTTGCACAATTTGCTGATGAACGTCCACGTCAAGACTCTGCGTCTCTTATCGTCCGTCCTCCCTCACCAAGATGTCCAGCGGCGTCAGAAGGAAAAGAGCGCGCATGGACGAAGAAGACGCGGCTGCAGTGAAAGCTGAACTCCAGGAACTTGAAGGTTCCATGGACGTTGATGCGGCTTCCCCACCGGATCCTGAAGCTCCCCGTTCGGACGCGTCGGGCACCCGAGCGGATGTTTCGGCAAGTAATGTTGACGAGGACGCAGAGGCTTACGTGCAGGACAAAAACCTCTGGTTCCACGATGGCACAGCAATCCTGGTCGCGGCGGGCGTCGGATTCCGTATCTACAAGGGGCTCCTGGCCGAACACTCCCCTGTGTTCAAGGAGCTGTTCTCGCAGGACCATCCACTTCGCACGCTCCCCATAGACGAGACACAAACCATCACGTGTCCGCTTATACAGCTCTCGGACTCGGCACATGATCTACGGTACATCCTACGCGTATATATGCCTCGACGAAACGCCAGGTACGATACTTCGACGTGGACCGTATTATCGTTGCATCTGAACCAACGTGCACTACAGCGTGTACGGGCCCTGTATCCCGTCTTTCGACAAGCTCTCTGCCTCCATCCGTCTGGGACAAAAGTACCAGATCACTCCGCTCTACGAGCAGAGCATCCGGCTGCTGAAAAATTACTACACAGATGATCTTTCGGTCTGGCTCAGGGCTAACAAAAGACCACCAGGGTTCTCAGCTGTGAACGTCATCGGCGTAGTCAATCTCGCACGGCTCACCGGTGAACTTTCCATCCTACCAGCCGCGCTCTACAGATGCACGCTGCTCGACTCAAGGATTGTACGGGGATACAAGCGCGCTGACGGCTCCCAGGAGAATCTGACGCTAGACGATCTCGGCCTTGTCTTCGATGCGAAAACAGAAATCAGGAAGGCCGGCGTTGCGGTCATGCTCCGGGCGTTCAATGGTGGACTGGCAAACGGATGTACGAGGTCCAACACGTGCTCCGCGGCGTTACATGATGCAATGGCCGGCCTTGATGAACACGTCGACCAATTAATCGCCGGCGGCGCTTTCCAAAATTATACCGTGGTGCTGAAGGATAAGAAGTTAGCGGTTTGCACTGCTTGCAAGGAGGCAGTGAACCTCAGACATTCGAAGGAGCGCCAGAGCATGTGGGACCGTTTACCGGAGCTCCTGCGCATTCAAGTGCCTGGATGGGGGGCGGAAAAACCCTTGCCTTGAGAGACGACGACGTGAGGAAACCTTCCATCTGAATGATACTTGTACTGACCAACCGCCGCCTTTCGCAGGTAGCTATGATAGCGGCGGAGCGATGCTGTCTGTTCCGTTCGCCGATTGTACCGTTCTTGATGGGCTTGCCATGATCAAATATCGGGAAAGGCGTTCATGTCGGACGATGCAAGCCTGTTGCCCCGAACAGACAAGGACCATATGTGTTGCCTCTTAGTGGCACAAGCAGACAACAGCGAAGTCAGCTCTGGAGGTAGGAGGCTTGGACGTCTCGATTCGATGAACCGGAATACTGAAAGACGCTGGGGATTGCCATGAATGGGGATATTGTGGCGTTCAGTAACGCCTCTCATCACATAGCTAGCCGTGCAATTTCGGACGCTGAAGTTCGAGTGTTGCCTCAGTAAGATCAAAGGTTCCAAAGTTATCCTCATCCGAAACACAAGAGGTGAGACGAAATCCACTCTATTCTTCCTTCGGTGTAATCAGAGCGAGGGCATTGTCACCCAACCCTGCGAACTTCTTATGAAGTCACCGAAAGCGTTGCATAACGCACCTGAATCTATCACGCACGCGGTTTCTTCTTCGCCGGCCGCCTGACGCACTGGACGAGCTTCAGACCACTCACCTGTGCGTACACCATGTCCTCCCGCGTCACAAGGAAACGAGCTCGCACAGAAGAAGAACCAGCAGAACAACAAATGCATGGTGTGAACATGGACGTCGACTCTCTCAACCCATCGGACCCTGGGCCTACGATGTCTGTGGAGACGGCCAAGCTCGAGGACGCCGGAGACTAATGGCGAGCCACCTGGCGGAACGGGAGCTATCGATATCCAGGCTCTCAAGCGCGACGGGGAGTCCTGGTTCGACGACGGAACGGTCATCCTGCTCGCAGCTGACGTAGAGTTCCGTGTATACAATGGAATCCTATCGGGCCACTCCCCCGTCTTTCAGGACATCTCCGTCCAGGACCACCCCCTTCGGGCCGTCTGTATCGATGAAACGCAGAACATCACCTGTTCAGTCGTCGAATTTTCCGACTCTCCTGAGGATCTGCGGCATGTATTGCGCGCATATATGCCAAGGGAGGACGCAAGGTAAGACACAACTGTAACATTCACCTGGATGTGACCGGACTTACTTCCCGTAGTCTATCTGGGAAGGGACCACCTTCATTCGCCCAGCTCTCCGCCTCTGTCCGCCTCGGAAAGAAGTCCGAAATTCCGCAACTGTACGAACAGTCGCTCGCGGTTCTCAAACAATACTTCACGGACGACTTCTGGACGTGGCGCAGCCAACGCATATGGGTTCCCGAAAGATTCTACACCGTCGAGGCGATTGGCGTGGTCAACCTCGCTCGTCTCACCGGGGAAATGTCGATCCTCCCTACAGCGCTCGTATCCTGTTTGGTGCTTGGATCTGACATCGTCGACGGCTTTGAGAGGGAAGACGGCTTCAAGGAGAATCTCACACTGGAAGACCTCGGCCTCTGCATCCGGGCGCAAGCGGAAATCGGGAAGGCCAGTGTAGGCAGCGTCTTCCGTCGCTTCAAGCCAACCGTCTCTGCCGGGTGCAAGACTGCAGAGTCGTGCGGAGCCGCGTTCCGTAAGGTGTTGTACGGACTTGAACAACGCATGGAAATTCTGATCTCTGGGAATCCTCTCGCCGAGTACACAGCCTATCTAGGGGGAGAGAACATTGGTCTTTGCGCATATTGCCTCGAGATGCTCGAGGACAGAGACGACAAGGGGCGCACGGACATGTGGAAGCGCTTTCCGGATCTGCTAGGGATTGAGGTTCCAGGTTGGGAAGAGGCAGCAACAGTACAGCCCGAGGACCGAGAAACGCTGCATCCTGAGAGGTACAGATGCCTGCTTGGGTATTCTCTTACCACTCCATCGGCTGAAGCGCGAAAACAGGTATCAATTGATAATGCTAGCATGCGTTAGCTACGAACAGTGCAAACACTCCTTCACTACTACTTCTTCGACGTTCCGTTACGCGTGGAGTCTCCACGTGAGTGACTATCCCTGCTCGATCCTGCTCTGTACCTTCGTAAATGCGCTATTCTTTCATGATACAACCCCATCCAGCAACTGGCTGTCGACGGATCCGGTCAGCACTTGCTGCCCGCTGAGCTGAAGGTTCATGATTTGAGGCAGCGTACTCCAAATTGCTCCGAGCTCCTCCTTCCACCTGTTCTCAAGCAGGCCTTCGCACTCTGCGCACACGCCGTGCCTTGCCATCTTTTTAGAGTACCGGCCCCAGCGCGGGAAAGGGTCATTGGGAACGCCGGGGGCTCTGAAGAACGTCGCCTTGATATCCTGCGCGGCCGCCGCAACGCCCGCGGAGCAGGTATCTGGGTGCTCGGTGCAGAGAGAGGTGAACTTTTCCAATGCACGGTACAGCGCGGGAGGGACCGAGCTACAGAGCTCGCGGGAGAGGTTCCTGTGGCGCACGAGGTCCTCTGGCGGGAGGTAGTGAGTGGCGCCGTCGGCCGTCCTGAATCCCGAAGCGAGCTCTTCCTCAGAGAGGGCACAGCAATTGATGAACATCGCCGGGAGAAACGGGTATGCTCCGAACCGCTGGGCGAGGTTGATCCAAGGGATCGTCTGTGTCTTCTCATGATCATCGAGGATGGTGGTAGAGCGATACCAGGCGTCAAAGTGTGGTGGAAAGAGTGTCCGAAGGACGTGTAAAGCCTTCATGACCAGTGCGTACAGATCGTACTTTACACTGACCCGCAGCCACGCGGCGACCTGTTCGAAGGTGGGCACCACGCTGCTCTCCCGATCGCGGGGCCTGGCACCACGTCAGCGCTCAGAACGATGCAAAGGGTTCATGTCCAGTGGGGCTTACCTTCGGGTGGTCATTATCTCTCTGAAAGCGAGCCGCAGGTCCTCTGGATCGTCTGTGAGCTTGATGATCGGTACGTGCTGGAATAACTGCGTGTCCGGCGGTAACGGCCCGTCTAGCATCTCGACGAAAACGGGATCGTGGCCGTTGGTGGAAGCGGCATAGAGAATGCCCTTGTAGACGCGGAAGTGGATTCCTCCAGCTTCGAGGATGACGTTGCCATCCTCGTACCAGAATTCGTCGTCTTTACGAATCACGTGCAGCGGACGGTCCGGTTCCGTGTAGGGAGGTGCCTGCTGGCCTAGCTCAGGAGCACTCGCCGGTCTAACGTAGGAAGGCGCATCCTCCGCTGCTTCTCCTGAGGATCAAAGCTCACGTCAGCGTGGAGCGTTCGAGATGCAGCCACTCGCCTCCGGACTCGCTGTCTATACCAGACTGGTCGGCAGGAGCGTCTTGGGCTCCATATGCCATATGGTCTCCAGCGAAAGAGCGTTCGTCTAGGTCTGAGTTTGAGTGAGTATACCATACTACTAATTCCGCGAACGCTTTTACACACCTCTCGGGTTTCGCGACGAGTCACCCGCCCCCTCTTGCCCGCCTTCGCTGATTGGCCTATCCGCGTCCTCAGACACGTCCGCATCGGAGTACGTCAGTGCCTCTGGGTCGGCGTGCTCGGGCCAATAGGGTAACTCGGCACGAAGGCCAAGAATGTCAGGCAGCTCCAGCCAGACCTCCTTCAGTTTCACCTTCCATTCATTCTCCAGCCAGGCGTGGCACACCCTGCACACACCCTGCCGGTAGACCACGTCCGACAACCATCCCCACATCGGCAATGGATGTGCACTGTTGCGTGCACAATACAACACCCACTCCCTGATCTCGTGGGCAACAACGGGCGACTTCACACTCGCGCTGCACTCCCCTGGGCCTTTGACGCAGGTGGAAGGGGGGTGAAACTCGTCGAGCAGCTCCCAGAGCATCACTGGCAGCCGCGCTCTCAGCTCGCTATGGAGATGCGCCACGCGAGCGTAGTCCTCGGCGCAGAGCCGCTCGGTCGTCCCGTCGGGTAAATCAAACCCACTGACAAGCTGGGCCTCTGGAACCGTGCATGCGAGAAGAAGGGCGGCGGGCACGAAGTACCAGTACTGTAACAGATGCGCTAGATTGACAAGGGGAACGAGGAACTCTGCCCGCTCCTCTAGTGTGCGCAAGAACTTGCGGCCTTCCAGGTCCAGCCATTCGTCAAAATCGCAAGGAAATAGGTCTAGTAGGAAGTCCCGACAATGCGTGATCAACGTGTCCATCCCGTATTTGAACCCGAGTCGAACGCATGCGGACAGGGTCGTGATGTCAAGAAAGCTTGGAGGAGCGGCGCCCATTCTGCACAGCAAGGTTGCGCCATTAGTAGAGATACGGAGCATATGCATACTGGAGCTAGCAAACGCACCTTTGGGGCGGCATGAGTCTCCTCATCACAAGAGTAAGATTTCCAGGGTCATCCGTGAGAGAGATGACTGGGACGCCTTCGTGCATCGGCCCATCATGCCTGCTGAACATTGGCCCCCAAGCAGTTCCCGCTTCGCAAAGAACGCCCTTGTAAACGCGAAATCCGACGCCGCCGCGCGCCACGACAATGACGTTCCCGTCCTCGAACCAGAACTCCTCGTGCCTGCGGTAGACAACGAAAGGCAAGCTTTCGGGGGCGCCGACATCCGTAGGAAGATCGCCGGGACCACCAGACGATTCGGAGGGAGGAAAGGGCGGGGGAGTACATTCGCGCGAACTCGTGAGAACCATGTGTGCGCGAGCGCGCCATGTAGCGCTATCAGGATGTTGCTTAGCCTGCGGGTCGGCGGCGACAGGGTGCGCGCGACCAGCTGATTGAGTAGCCCGTTCACCCACGTAACTGAGCTCGGACGCTGGTTCTCGTGCGGACGGAGGTAGTGGCGCCGGTGCACGCGGAGGGGAATGCACAGCGCTACCTGCAGTTGCGACCGCAGGAGCCGGCCCAGAGGCAGATGGCGAAGGGAGTAGCGTCACTGTGCGCTCACGAAAGGCCGCACGCGCCTGGTAGTCAAGTGGATCAGCATCAAGCGATCTCTGCGCGCACGCAACGAAACGCACCGACGGCATGCTAGAGTCTCGTCGCTGCCAATGCACTGTAGGCTCCTTCGACCGACGACGGAAGATATGTTTCATTGTCCAAGTGGAGAGGGGTAAATGAGTAGATCTTCGGTGTGTAGTGAACGCACATGGCTATCCGGACCTTTTATACCTAAGCACAAGATGTGAGGACAATTGAAGCCAAACGCGTCAGAGAAGGGCGATTACACTTGAGTGGCAGTGGGTAAGGACTTACTGGACGGCACCCAGTGGCGCATGTGTTCCCCTCATGACGGCAAAGTAGCCTGAAGGAGAATCGTGCTATGCCGTCATGCATAAAAGCCATTCGCTAGTAGCAGGATCAGAAGTACCACCTGCTCATCGAGCCATTCGCTATTGTCTCTTTCATGGCCTGTGGCCTGTGAGTTGCCAAAGTGTCAGTTGTGCAAGAGTCATCTCAGCCACGATGGCGCGGGGTGCATCCACATGAGCCCCCGCTAGCTGGATCGAGCATGCATACCTACTTACTATATTCAACAGAGGTACGGAAACATGGGGTATACGCGTACGCGACCGCCGCGGCCACTGCACATTTCGCACATACGAACTTACTCGTCCCTACACTGCAATACCTCGTCATCGTCTTTCAGACTTTTGAGCAACAACCACGCACCTTTTTACGTCTCTGCCCCCAAGTCTTTACCTCAACGGAGACAGGACCCGGCACCCAACCCAGATGCGCATCTCCTCCGCATACAGAGGGCCGAGCACGACTGCGCAGCGGCCACACTAGCCCCAAACGGCACCCTCTTCTCCCTGGCTCCTAGAAGCACTCCTCCTTCTATTCACTCCCATTTGCTACCCTATTCGCTAGGGACCACTTCGGCGGACGAGGCTCAGACGTGGTGGGGACAGTAGAGATCATCCGGAAGCAGGAATTTTGGCTTCAATTCTCGACGCTGGACGATGACGGATTCGCACAGGTTTCGGTGAACATCAGCAACTAATTGAGCTAGCTTGAATTTTCGATGGCAGCTACCTCAGAGTGTATTTAGACGGGCGAGAACAGCGGGACAATAGGCATGGAGTGATGATGTGTTGAAGTTCGCGGGGAGCCAAAGAATAAGAACACAGTGTATTGCGTTTGGGCCGTTTGGCTGAGTTTGCAAACGCATGAGCAGGCGTCGCGAACATATGTATCATGCGATTACCTAAGCATGTCCATATCGGGAATTATACCTACGAGACTGCAATCCGATATTCCAACATGATGGAGGCCACAACGATGAGCACGACGAGCACCGGGAGTCCCACATAAGAGCTGTCGTACTTTGTCTGTTACCGGGCGGTCATATACAGTCTGTCCGATATCCCAGGAACGAGTCCTCCAGTTCTTGGCTTCTTACCCTACGGCAGGGTCGGGCTCTCTCATTGCTGGTTCGGGGGTTACCTGCGCCATTCAGGGCCAAAATGGCCCGGGAACGCAACAACAGCCCGCAGACGGTCTTTCGACAACAGGAAACCAGGGTACGAAAGCCAGCCCTGCTGACCGTCTTACATGATCTATGTCACAATGGCTTCTGTCCAGGCGTCCAATCATCGTCCATGCTGTTCATGGAGGGGCGATCTGCAAGCGTGCGTGTAGGGCTGAGAACTGAAACAAGCCGCCAGACACCGTTTGACAACATCAATAGACTACTACGTATGCTCTGCGTCTGGGTACTTCAGTGCTGAAGGAACAGGCATCGTAGGGCCCGATACGCACCGTCGCCCGTAGAAGAGTGGGAACGCTAAGGATCAGTATCATCGTCCACGAGCCTACGAGCCTGCCTAGAAACATGTTAGGTGAGCCAGTAGTAGTCGCAATGAAAGAGGGGATATCTCACCACTTGCGGTGCGGCTTACAATCGCCTGCCATATACCAACAGTCGTTCGGCGCTGGCAAGTGCTGAACTAGGACGTCTTCCTACCTCTTACGCTGCTTCTTCTCCCTTGGGCGGAGACGGAGGAAGCTCTAGTATCGGTTGGATCCACCCCGGGACCTCGATCCCCAGTAGTTCCGGCAGCTTTCCCCACACGCCCCTGCGCTCCTTCCACTTCCGCTCGCGCACCATAGAGGCACACTGGGCACAAACCCCCAGAACATGCCCCTCGGGAAGGAACTGCGCTTGCGGCATGAACGGATCGCCGTTCGTGAGCACCCGGACGTGCCCTTCGAGGCTGAGCAAGGCGTCGCGGAGCGCGGTCCTGCACACCTTCCGTGTAGCACACTCCTTGCAGGGCGTAGGGTGGAATGTGCGCAGGATAACGCCGACCGTCGCCTCGTGGATCCTGCTCGTCGCGTCGAAGCAGACGGCGAGGTCGTCGGGAGACAGCGTCTCCCGCGAGCCGTCTTCCCGGACGAGCCCGTGTACGACCGCAGACCCCGCCCATATGCACGCGATGAACGCCGCGGGAAGTAAAGACGACTCTCCGGTGAGCCGCGCGAGGTTGACGACGCCGAGCACCTGGACGTCGTCCCAGTTGGGCGGCATCCAGCTCGGCTGCTTGTACCAGACGTCGAAGTCGCTGGGGAAGTGCCGCCTGAGCACGTGCAGGGACTGGCTGACAAGCTCCGCGATCTGGTACTTCTCTCCCAGACGGATGCATGCCGATATCTCATGGAAGGAGGGCTCCCTTGCGTCGTACAAGCTGTGGCAAAATCGTGATGAGAACCTGAAGTCGCCGGCCTGGTTGTCGGTATGTCCACGTACCTCCGCATTCGTCCAGCAATGCATACGCGTAGCAGGTGGCGCAAGTCGTCAGGGGAATCGGAGACACGGACGACCGGACACGGGATGTCATGCCCGTCACCTAAGGGTACGTCACGAACCGGATGTTTCCTGGCAAACAAATCCTTCAACACCGGAGAATACGCCGCGAGGAGGCCCTTGTAGACGCGGAACTCGATAGTCCCGGCTACGAGGATCACGGTGCCGTCGCCGAGCCAAAACTCGCCGTCGTTATACAACATGCCTTCGTCATCTGGTCGACTGTGTTCTTGTGCTCGCTCGGCATCGCAACCCACGGTATCGTCCTGCGAGCCTCGTACACGCTTTGGAGGGGGGACGTCTTCCGTTTCTTCTTCTTCCTCCTCCTCCTCCTCCTCGTCATCGCGCGTCCACTTTTCAATTATAGGGCTCGACATGAGCAAGGGAAGATGGATTCTAGATCAGTCAGTCGTACGGACAAGCTCAAGGAAGGACAATTGTCACAAGAGACGACGGCGTGGCAGTTGGCTGGCTGGGTGTAGACACGGTCAACTAGCGCATTACGTACTTCGGCAATCGTCCAAGCGAGCCGCACATTACGCGACGCCGGACTCGAAAAGAATCAAATGCAGCGCCGGCCGCAACCAGCACAAGGGGCAGCGGCAGCATCGCCCAAGAGGCGGGCAGGATTGTTTGAAGGCCTATGCACAACTCTCGAGAGGTAGAAGGGCTTCCACTACGGACGTTCTGGCTGTTGGCCAACCTCGCCGGAACTGGTACATGTATTCTTCCAAGCCAGGAAATTCCACTACCAGCACAAGGCAGCAAGCATGCCGTACGACCATGACTGTAAAAAGGGCCCAGGCCGTTCAAGATCAGCTGCACATCCGGACGCGCCACATTGCCTGAAGATGACCGAATGTACTGCGCCGCACAAGGCGAGCGGGTTGCGTGCGTTCATGATGACGCACGTTGTAGCCCAGGCCTGCGCTCGTTCGGCACCTTGTTATGGATGCGAAACTCACGTATAAGGTTCGGGCCGGGGCAGGGACGAGAAGCGAAGCACGTTGTGGGCCGAGATTGCAGGCGCATGTTGACCTGCATCGAATGGTGTGCGTGCCAGATCCCTCCCGAATCTCGGTGCGTAATCGGGTGCCACACACACCGGGTTCCGCACGCAGATAAGCATGTCGTTCCCTACGTTCTTGGATCTCGAAGGAAGCCGTCGACGTTCTCGGGTCGGAGGCTCGTTCAAGACTGGCCACCGCACGTACGCGGCAGTAGTATGCTGCAGCTGCGTGGTTAGTTGGAAGGGATCTTGCAAGGTGTGGCGGGATGTTGAGTCCTGCTCATCGCTCGGTGTCCGTCCTGCACCGGCGGCTCCTCGACCTAGCTGACGACCTAGGCTCGAGTGAGCTTCGCTGTCAAACTCAGTGAAAGCTGGGACTCAGCCGAGTCCGTCATCAGAGACTAGTACTATCGTCACTCACCGCAATGGCATCTCGCTTTCCAACGACTGCGAAACGCGCAGCTCCCGAAGCTGGGGGCAGGCTCCGTACACGCCGGGGCCAAAAGATAACAGGGATCACAGCCCCTCATTGGATGCTACTGCATGCAACATTTTCTGTGAAAAAAGGTTCAGCGATCTCAACAGACGGCTTATGACCGGTACCGAGGTACCTCTTGTGTCTGCACGGGCAGGCCGTAAGCTAGAGCTCCTACAGACGCACGTATCACGCGATACGAGCCGGAGACAATCGCGAAGCGAAGTTGTAAATTGGGAGCCCGGATAGCGTCTCTACGTCGCCGTCTCCAAGATGCAGGGAAGTACCAAGCAGCGTGCAGCACGGACAAGAGAAGGATACAGAGGGGATACAGCGGCGGATTAAGTACAACAGCAAGTGCGTGGATATCGTACAGCTATAGCTATAGTCGACAGCTAGAATACCGCAGTAGAACCCGGGGTCGGCGAACTGTCGAACTGTATGTCGACGGTGGTGGTCGAAGGCAAGGTCGGACACCGAGCGCATGGCGGCATTTCGGGCTTTTTCCGCTGCCGGAGCGCTCGCGAGGACGCTATGGGCGCTCCGTCACGGTCACTGGCAGTCCGGGTGTTTCGCTTGGATCATGTTCTGCACCGTTTTCTTGTCGACGACGACCTGTGCACGCGAGTGACGACAGTTGTGAGCACACGAAAACACGATAGATGGTTTCGGATCCCTACAGCCTGGCATCGACATGCGACGGTCGGCGAATGGGCATGTGCTGCGCTCGTTTTGCATTTCGGGGAGCGGCAGTCGACACGCTCGCCTGTGTAGTAACGTCCGTGGAAGTGCTTAGAAAGGGCGAATATGAGTACGGGCTGCCCGAGAAGAACAGCGGAGCAGCGTACCTGGCAGCCACGATAGAAATCCCCGATGCTAGAACAAAGCGATATGGAAGAAGGATCAGCACAGTTCCGGAGAGTCCAGGTTTCGACCGCGCTACGTAGGTGGGAAGCAGGCTTACACTTCGTGCTCGCACATGGCAGTCGTATATGTCCTCACGGAGAACGAATGAGTCCCGCTTCCAGCACTAGGAAGCTCTGCGACAAAAGTAGAGGAATACGAGGATGGGAAGTGGCAGGGACGTCGCCTCAGCGGGTAGATAAGGTCGCGCACGCGAGCTGGAAGCTCCCCCTGCCATATCGTGACCACAAAGAAGCTAGGTAGTGTGCGGCGAAGCGACACGGCGCACGTCCCTGCGGTGATAGCTACGGGGCGCGGCCACAAACAGTCTGTCAAGTCACGAATCCATCCGCAGCCAGTCAACCGACGAGCCTCGAGGGTTGATGGCGAGAAGCACGTACTGATCTCGGTGTCCGGACGAGAAGCACGCTGTCGGGAGCTAACACAGAATATTTCCACGCCAGGGACGGGGTGCCACTCGAGCATCCGAGCGCGAGCTATGGTAGACTGCAGTCGAAGACGACAGTTAATTTCCCAACTGCTGGCCTGATACGCGCCGCTGCGTGTCTGCACGTCCCCCATTGTCAGCGACGATGGATGTGGTGAAACACGTCGGGGGTACGCACAGATAAAGAAAGGGCTTGGAAAATGCGGCGTGCACGAGTGCGTGCCACTGACGTCGCGCGCCGAGCTCTACCCGTGTGTTCGGACTTCGCGCGGCGGGAGGCACCTTCGCTACGCGCGCGCACCCTTTTTGGTGTGGCATCCCTGGCACCTTGCCCTTTGTATGTTGCATCAAGTGATGCCTGCCTAGGCGTATTTGTCTTCTATCTTCTTCCTGTCTTCCTTCTTCCTTCTTTCTTCTCGTGCCAACCCATGAGAGCGCAAGTGACGTAAACGCGCCGCGCGACACGCCAGGGGTGAACAAAGAGGTAGCAGGACACGCCTAACAGATGGGCAGTGTGGGCGAAGCCAGGAAGGAACGCGGGAGAGGCAACTATGTAATGCGAACGCAGTTCATGCGTGGTGCGGAATGAAGAACAAGAAGTGCATAGGCAGTCTAGCGCGGCCGAATCAGTCAGTTTCGAAGCGCGGGTGCTTGCCGAGGTCAGATATGACGCAGCCTCGCCTGGTGCGGGACCGACACCGGCCGTCCGCGCGAATACATCCGAAGGAGGATGATAGTCATCGCGTTCTATAAGAATACATCTATGGTATAGTACATTGGAGCCATCGTAGGGCATTATAACAGGCGGAGCTACACGACGCGCCAAATCACGGAGGTGGGAGAACGACAGCAAGGCCCAGGAGTCGGAGTCCGGGAAGGATTGATACAATACATACGAACGAGAGTGTGTGAGAACCCTGAGGCGAAGAAGTACAAGTATGGGAATGCCGAGGGAGAACGGAGGGCAGGGCGGCGGCATTAAGGGTACAGTCGGGACCCTGTAGCGATACACCAGTGTCAGGATGTTTATGTTTTACTCGAGGGGTTACGGGGACCGGGAAGCCGAGGCGGAGGGCGGGCGGCGCGAGGACGGCGGGATGTTCGTCAGCGCCGGGATAGGGAATCATGGGGTCCGGGGTATGCTACAATCGCGGTGAACAAAGAGGGTCGAATATTGTTAGGCTGAAGGCAGAGTGTCAGAGAGGGGCGTCAGGACTTGTTACGTTTGTAGTGTCAAGTGGCTCACGCACCAGAGAGGTAGAGTACGAAGCTATCGGCCCTTTAATGGCTCCGTGTACCCAACACAGCCCCGATAACCACGGCGGACACGATCACGACAGTAGCCACCGATGCCCACAAGCAGCGCCGCGCCCATCTCTCCTCGGCCAGCTCATACACCGCGATGCGCCGCCCGCGCTCCTCCGCGGAGTTCACCGGGAGGCCTTCGTGTTCGATGCGCGGCCTGGGAGGACGAAAGAGAAAGACAGCGCCGATGAGCCACAGCAAGGGGCATGCTAGAGCACGTCAGCGCGCCGTCCTTCACGTATAAGAGACACGGAAGAGGAGGGACAGAAAGGGATAGGACGCACCGAATCCAAACTGGAACATGCGCTTCGAGAGCGTCGTGGGTTCAGGATAGACGTTCGTGACCGCACTCGCTTTTACTTTGGCGGCGTCGCGCTCAACGAGCACGCTGCCCCACTTGGACTTCTTCCCTGTACTGCCATACGAGCTCGCCTGCGAGGTAATTTGCGAAGAGTGGTCGGACGAAGAGGCGGGCGGAGGAGGGCGAGGACGGGGAGCGGCACCCCCACTGAAGAAATCAGCGAGCAGCTCTTGCTGATACTGAAATGCCGCAATCTCGGCCGCTTGGCTCGGGTTGGGATGGGGGGACGTTGGCAGAGTGATGGTGACGGTGCGATCTGCCGAGTTCATCTGGGCAGGGTATGAGCTAGAAGAAGTCTTAGAGAACATGGTGGTAGTGCAGTGAGTCGACGAGGGACCAGTGGAGTAGTGACTAGTGATGGATGGTGGAGGCCCAGTGGCGATGATGGTCTGAGATGAGATGATCGTGCTTCAAGCACTTACTGGGACGAGAGGCGGGAGTCAAATGGACGAAGAAAGTGAGAGACGCGATTGTTCGACGTTTTAAGCTTACCCTCCGGACGCGCTTTGGACTGGCATCCGGGTCCGGTACGGGTGTTGCGGACGCGCTTGACATGCTGGGCACTCACGAATTGTCTTCGTGCAGTAGATGTAATCACTGTTATGCGTCTAGTATGGCGCGAAGACAATAGAGGCGGTTACTTCTGCCGCCGGGCTTTTTGTGTTCTGTCCCGCCTGTTCGCGCTAAAATGAGGGCTGGAATGCGATACTGAGGGCATCGATTAGTGGAAGAGGGTGGCACAAGATCCGAATTCTCACCTTGGCCTTCGCTTCGGGGCAGGCGATCTTATTTCTTTTGTTTCGCAGATCAGGCATGACTGTGCTAGGGAACGAACAAGACAATAAGCCCTCGCCACGAGGCAGTGTGGTCGCTGCGGCAAACGCCGAGCCATAGACGCGCCCATGTGAGCGCGACGCGACGCGTCGGTGGCACTGCTCGCGCATCGTGTCTTGCCGGGCGTCAGTACTGGCTGTGCTCCGCGCGCGAAGGCTCCGCATGATGAATGAGAATGAAAGCCGATTATATTGACGTAGCGGAGTGCAGACATTAGATCAAGACAATCTCTGTAGAGGGAGGGTAGAGAGTACGCTCTTCATGGGAGTTGCTAGTAGGAGACAGATCGACAGCGGCCATGCCACGACATTGAGGAAGAACCGAGTCCAGAGGTTGAGGCGAGAATTAGGCACAGCTACGAAGGATCATTGGATGCGGGGAGAGGATAGTCTCTCGAGCAGCGTCGGCTTTCTCGGAGAGACACGTCCAGCCAGTCGCCTGCGTTTCACGACAACGTCGAGTCGGTCGGGGGTGATGATGCTGCTGCCCCTGCGCTTGGCTCTCAGGACGAGTGGGCTGTCTTGCATGTAGCAGCTAAGTGCTGACGTGGATACGCCAGGAGTCTGCTCGACACTCCCCGTCAGCCGTCTTCTCATACACGTGAATGCGGCGCAACTACGTACCACATCGTCCGTTCCCGGAGGAGAGATAATGACGGAGACGTCCTCGGATCCTATGACGCGCGAAGAGTCTATGAATACGGCATTGCCGTTGTGACCGTCAGCCGACTGTACCATACGCCGCCCTTCCTTTACGTTTGCTCCACGGAGCGCAGGAGTGGCACTCACTCGCGCTGCGGGCCTCGCCTCGTTCCTTAAGGAAGGTCGCAATCTCCGCACGAAGCCTCTTCTGTGTCGCCTTCTCTTGCAGGATGTGGGCACGCGCTGCATCAACCTGGGCCTGGATATTCGCACACTGCGCCTCGAGGGTGTGGCACGCAGCGTCGCGTTCAAGGGTGGTCTCGATGAGGACCATCAGACCGCGGATGGTCCCAGACATGCCCGGCGTAAGAGATAGCGCAAGCGCGAGCGACATGTTTGATAGATGTGGCACGTAAGGACTGGTAACGGTAGATGGATAAGCCGAAAAGAAAGATGGTCCGAGGAGTCAGAGGTAGTGGGGCTAACCAGCGCGTCGCTGGCTGGATCGTGAGCATGACAGAAATACCCGTGGCGCGAGGCTGCCCTATGATGCACGTCGTCAGCCTCAGGTACAAGGAGGAAAGTGAAACAGTGTCAACCGCTGTGGTCAGAAGAGCAGCACCGTGTCAAATCGGCCCGAGGTGGACATGTCGCTGACCCATCCTCGCGAACGACCCAGCCCAGGTGCCACAATGTCAGCCTCTCCGAGCACAGGCGTCCGCCACAACACACCTCCAATTCCTTAATTGGATTTTCGTACTCTCCTTTCCCCCACCAGCCGGTCTACGCGGATCTCGTGCCTCATCCGCGCAGCCCGAAGAACTTCCCGTCCACCGCCGCATCTGCAATCGCACAAGCCATGGTCGCTAGAACCCACGCAGGCAGCCCTACTCCCCCGCATTTGCATCTCGCGATCGAGTTGGATTCCGTCGAAGATCTCACGAACGAAGTACTCGCCACGGCCTACCTCCTCCAGCAGCAGATTTACACACTCGAGAATCTCGCCCACGCGACCGAGGAGCGCGAGACAACGCTCCTGCGGCAGCGCTCGAGGCTGCAGGACCTGCTGCGACTCGTCACCCACATGGAGACGACCGAGGTACGCGCAACTGCCTCCCTCCAGGAAACGCTCGTCCGCACCCGCACTAGCAAGACAATCAGGTCTTCCAATACGTTTCGCCTCTCGAATCCTGCCTTGCCCTTCCCTGGGCTGGCATCATACATATCCCTCGCTCCGCCGTCCTCCTTCTGCCTCGACACCAAGCCACCCGGGGATCCCGGGGATCCATCTGAGAGCGCTAGCTTGGCGGACGAGAAGGTGGACAAGAACCGCGAGGGGGACGGTAGCGAGCAAGGCGAGACCCCAGGCAATCTGGACATTGTGCCGAAGAAGCAGTCAGTTGCGGGCGGCGATGCCGAGAACACCCCTCTTCAGTTCGCTTCTATCAAGGCCGAAGAGGGGAGCGACGGAGACCTTGCGCCCAGGATTGACCCATGCATCACGACTGCCGGTTCCGTCCCCAGCGCCGGCGGTATGCCGCAGGCTAATCGCTCTGTCGGGGAAGGCGTGGGACGGAGCCGAACAGAAACTGAGCCTGGCGCCTGGCACTTCGAAGTCGACAAGCGGACGAAGCAGGAGGAAAAAGCGGAGCAGCCAGAGACAGCTATCGGACTCGATCCTCGCCTACTGACCGCGCCTGCTGAGGGTGTACGGGTCCAGCCTGCGCCGACTCCGTTCAGGGCACGAAACGAGCGGGCAGGGCTGCAGCAGGATGCGGCTGACTTGGAAGGCTCGTGGAGAGCACGGAAGCCCACGCCATCCCCACGCACCCGTTCAGGCCGTTGGCGTGAACGAGATGCGGCGCTACAGAGTCAGGCTCATGAAGATTGCGCGGCGCCATCGGCCCCCACTGGAGGTGTCCCAGGGCCGTCGGAGGCAGCGCGGACGAAGAAAGGTGGGAAAGAGATGGGTCGTAGTAGTCATGGTGCGGGCACCCAGGCGAAGCATCCTGAGCATACGCCCTCCCCACGAAAGAAGCGAGTGTCTGCGGCCCGAGCGGAGCCATCACCGCCGCGGAAGACAGGTAAGCAGAGCCTCTTCTCCTTTGGCTATCGCTCCAATACTGGGTCTTGTTTAACTGGAGAACAGATGATTCGACGTAGGGAGCCAGAATGAGGGAACCGGGCACACCATTCAATGTCAGGCTTCAAGTGGATGCGGAGGATATGACGATAAGAGAGCGGGAGGAGCTGGCGGGCGGGGTGATTCGGCTGTGAACCCGTGTGCGTAAGGGTACACTGTGCAATTCTCAATCGCATACCTTCATCTTTGCGATACTGGAGGCGGGATCGCCGCTATTCCAACGCTGAGATACCTAGAATAATTCGCCGCGGCAGGAGCTGTGTGATGGTGCGCTGCCGCACCGAGGCACTTCTAGCCAGCTATAGGTCAGAAGTTCGGCTCATCAGATTCTCTTGAAGATTCCCTACCAAGCGATTGCCGTTTGCCACGGAGGGAGAGCGTGGACGTGGAGCCAAGGACGCTTCCAGCATCATAGCGTCACACTTGTAAATGTACACCGCAAGCCAACTCCGTGACCATAAAAGATGCAGTAGGGCCATGACATGACGTATCGAGAGGCGCGAACAGCGGTCGGGACTAGCCAAGGCTGTCGTAATGCTTGAAGCTTGAATGGCGAGACTGGTTATCTAAAGCGCTGCGGCGGCCTATTGGCTGAGTGTGATTCAGTGCAGCCCCAACACGCCTAGGAATAAGATATGGATGAAGTTCTCCTGCAAGAAGGTGCGGGAGCATCGGATGGACACTTCTTCGCGAGCTACGCTGAGCTCGAAGCGACAGTAAAGGGGAAAGTGACATCGGAGAGTACGAATTCAAGTTGCGCCGCTAGTTTGGCCGAACAGACGCCAACGCTTACAATTCCGGCGTTTATCGAAACATCCATCTTCTGATTGCAACCGTGAGCAACGTAGGCGACGGACATTGACACAAACCGACATGAGTGGGAGGCTTAGGGCACACAAGGAGGGGAGATCAACAAAGCAACCACCGATTTCGGAAGATGATGACACCAAAATGATTGAGGCCGGGATCGAACCGACGACCGCCTGTGTGTAAGACAGGAGTGATAACCACTACACCACTCAACCGTACAGACGTTCTCGGTCACATGCCATAACATCATCTGCAGCAAGCTTTGAATAGGGTTTGTACTGCTCATCTACTTTCTGCCATCCGATGAGCTACTCCCATCCCCGAGGATATTTTCCCTTCGTGTGAGTAGCTCAGCTCAACGGAAAAGAGCTCCCGAGGGAACCTCGGCGATAGCATCCTATCATCCTTTCGAAATTGCTGTGGCTGTCTCGAAACGGCAGTGACTCGTTTATCTGATGGGCAGACACCAGAATGCCTGAAAGGCGCTTCGCTGCTTCGACTGGCGGTATGTGTCGTTTCCCTGAGTGGACTACGTCTAAACCGCTTATGGATTTAATCGGAAGGAACCTCCATCAGTTTTCGATACCCACGTTGCTCGTAAGGAGTGCCGTGCTGCGTACGTAACCGCCGCGGATGTCTCGCGCACACTCACGTCTGATGTCCGTAACGTACGGCAGGTGAAGCGATTCAATCCTAACGTCTGAGAAGCGTTTCGCTACTGTTGCGATTGCTCCTCGGTAGTCGCTGCAGTCTTGCACCATCATCCACCAAGTGTGACCGAACTGTTGCCCCGATGGGCAGGATCTTCCCAAGCTAAAGTGGTTTCCAGCAGGTGTCTCTGGACCATTCTACACGTCCGGTGCACTGGCCTGCTCTCACTCCTCGCTGTAACAGCGGGTGCCATAAGGTGTTCTGCTGACCCAGGTTGGAGACGCTGCGGCGCTACCTTTGCCGTATCGACGTTGTGGCAATCGTGCTCTCCCCGCTTGTCGACTACGTTGTCATTCCTCTACATTGTTCTTTGATCACATCACGATACGCGGGCCATCGGGCAAGGCTTCTTCCCCGATCGATTCAATTGCCCTACTGGGAGCGTGAAACTCCCCGAAGCCACCACGCGCCGACCCTGAACCCAAAGTCTTGCAGGAGAACCCAAGTTGGGGATTCAACGCAAAAAGTGGAAATGTGGTATTCGCGGTGAGCTTGTACGAGTTTGTCGGTGCGACACTCCGATCTTCCGCTCATGGTATAAAGCCCGATGGAGCGATTTCCAGTCCGGGCGGCACACCCGCTGGCGTAGAGCCCCACTATGGAGCCTCATTACCTCCACATCTTCGCACCTGTCAGCTTTGCTGCTTGCCTCCTACTCCTGTTTCGAATTGCCATATCTTGGCGGCTGAGTCGGCGTTGTGATCGCGCTCGGTTGCCCCCAGGTCCCAAGGCCATTCCGGTTCTCGGAAATGTTCATCAACTGCCACAGACCTACCAAGAGCGGACATTCGCAGACTGGACGAAGGAGTTTGGTGAGTAGATTCGTGTATTTCCCACGAAGGCGGTGTATTGAGTACTGTCGCTTTAGGGGATATCGTTTTTGCGAAGATCTTCAGGAAACCGGTCCTAGTCCTTGGTTCACTGCGGGCCGCACAAGATCTGCTCGAGAAGAAGAGCGGGAACTATTCGGATAGGCCGCGGCTCATCCTCTTGTCTGAGCTGTGCGTACCGCCCAGTATAGTATTACTCTCACCGTCCTGATGCGCTGATGCGCCCTTCCTCTCTGTTCAGGATGGGATGGGATAATGTCGTCACTCACATGGAATATGGAGACCGTTTCCGCAAGCATCGACGGTGGATACATGACAACTTTCAGACAAAGTCGGCGCTGCAAGGCTATCAGCCCATCCAATGTCGGGAGACATATACTCTTCTCTCCGGCCTGCTTGAAAGTCCGGTGGACTTCTTGGCGCACATCAACAGGTGAGCGTATCACATGCATGGCGGTGTTGCAGCGAACTGCATACGTCCACCAGTGATGTGTGAGACCGCGGGCCACTCTTATCGCCTCGCTAACCGGCTTCCCCTTCGACATTCAGATGGGCGACGGGCATGATCATGGAGATTACGTATGGCCATCGCATCGATTCTCTGGAAGATGAATACGTCAAGCTTGCGCATGAGGCCACGACAGCAACCGTCCTCGCCGGAAGTCCCGGCTCCATGCTGGTCGACTTCTTCCCAATCCGTGAGTAGATCACATTTTCATCCGTCCACTCTCCGCTCGGGCTTCCGATCCCTTCTTGCGGCCGCCGAGTTAGTTTCTAGCGCTCACTCTGCTATCAGTCAAGGCACTGCCAACATGGATGCCTGGCGCCGGATTCAAACGTGAGGCGTTAAGGATTCGCGGGATGGTACGTGCTATGATGCAGAGCCCGTACGAGATGGTGACACTTGCATTGGTAAGCGTGTGCTTTACATTTGACAGTATTGCTTATCATTGACGTATAACAAACTCAGGCTGCTGGGACTGCTAGACCCTCGTTTACTGCTTCTCTTCTCGAAGAGACTTACAGCCGCAATGGGCCGTCCGCGGAAGAAGTAGACGATATTCAGGGCGCAGCCGGCGTCATTTATGGAGGTGCGGTTGATCACTGCTTCCATTCATGCATGTTCTCATTTTTCTGGTCAGCTGGCACTGAGACGGTGCGTATGCGGATCATGATGTCGAGGATCACCTGGATCATCTCACGCATGATCTGCAACAGACTGTCACCGTATTGTCGACTTTCATCCTCGCTATGGCTTTACACCCAGATGCGTTCAGGCGGGCTCAGGAAGAGCTCGATAGGGTTATCGGCAAATCAAGGCTTCCCGATTTTGAGGATAGGGGAAGCTTGCCGTATCTCGATTGTGTCATTAGCGAGGTTCTCCGGTGCGATCGCTCTCCACTGTTGACGTCGGTTCTGTAGTCCTAACGCATCGGCCCTCTGTAGGTGGCGGTGCCCCGTTCCTCTCGGTGTGTACCAGCAACAGCATATGCTCAGCAATCACCTTTCTGCGCTTCGGTCTAACCCTGCGAGTAGGTATTCCGCATAATGCAATGTACGATGACGAGTACCGTGGGTACCATATCCCCGGTAAGACTATGGTCATTGCGAATATGTGGTACGCTTCGCGTTATCGTCGCATTGCTTGTCTTCTGAGGATTGCCCAATCAACATCGTCTCCTGCGCGTGCAGGAAGATGACCCAGGATTCCACCTACTATCCCGAGCCGCAAAAGTTCCGCCCCGAGCGTTGGCTCGAGATGGATCGGCACGTCGCCGAGTTCGCTGATCCACGCAAGATCGTATTCGGCTTTGGACGCAGGCTTTGCCCCGGGCGTGATTTTGCAGAAGCGAGCATTTGGCTCGCTGCTGCCAACATTATCTCTTTGTTCGACATCACTAAGGTAAAAGACCAATGGGGCACCGAGATTGTCCCTTCGGCCGACTATGCATCTGGCTTCGTGAGGTGAGTTGCGCTCGTCTTCGGTTTTCAGAGGGCGAACTGTAAACATTATCGGTTTCAGCCAACCGAAACCATTCGTTTGCTCTATTCTGCCGCGTTGCGACACCGCGGCGGATCTCATTGCTCAGGCGCGCGTCGGTCTGACTATCTAGTCGTTCTTGGGCGCCCTGCGGATCGTCGACACATAGGATGCAATCTGGATGTTTCAGTCCTTTGCGATGGACAGACGGAGTCTTACTGATCAAATCTTGTACACATATATTGTACCACTATACTATGGACGGCATCCCTTGTAAGCCACCCGTTTGCGTCGACGTTGCCCTGGTGCCTATTGCGAGCCAGTGTAATGGTACCTCCCGCGAATAGCAGATGTACCCGTCAGCAAATGATGATATTCAAGAACGGCGAAGTAACCTTGCTAGCGCTACTAAGGTGACCCATTATACGAGATCAGCCAATGTGAGCCCGCTGTGCCGCTGCGCGCTCACTATACCCTCTGTGTAGGATCCTGCGAGTAAGGTTGTGTGTACGAGTAAGGCTGTGCGTACTTGTACGAGTCGTCTTCTTGAGACATCATGGGGATATGCGTTTCCGCCCTCTGATAGTCTACGAGGTCCTGCTTCAGAGGCAAGCGAAGACCGGCAGAGGTGTAGATAAGCACGACAATGCACTCCATGAGGACGGACATAACGAGATAAATCGCCCAATCGCCGGTCGAAGACGAGAAGTGTCTGAGTGCCGAGTTTGACTGGACGGGGATAAGGTGGCCCTCGGTGTCGAAGCCGAACGAAGACGGCGCAAACGCCCCGAGGATGGAGTAAGCGACGCGGACGAGGAGGAAGGGTAGGGATGCAATGATCGTGAAGAGAAGTTTGCGTCTGTACTTCAGAACTTGCTCGCGGTTCAGCCAGCAGAAGGCCGTGACAGCGACGATGAAGGCGTAGAGGACGACGAAGAGGATAGCGCCTATGTGGCGGAGCGTGGCGGCGGAGTCAAGATCATGTTCGTTCTTCGCATTGCTCATATTGACTCCGCCAATGACGGCGAGAATGACCGCAGCCGTGCCGAGAAGGTGTAGGATGCGGAATGTGCGGACGCCCATGAATGGCGTGTTGTCGAGAGAATACTGCGCCCTGTGAGAGGTATCGTTAGACAGGTACCTATAAGTTCTACTTTGGTGTGGAACGTACACCGTGCTCAGGAATCCCAGAGTTGCCAGGAGCAGTGGCGACAGGCCAGCTGACTCAACTATGGTGTAGATGACTTGAAGCGTGACGTTGCTCGGGTTTTGTTCAGAGAGTACATGTGTGATGCCTCCGATGATCCGTGCTGAAGGCAGGTAGATGAGCTTCGAGTACTAGTGCTGATATATGGTCAGAGCAGCTCACCTATTGACAACACTGCGAAGAGGATCCAACCAGCTTTCCGTGTGGCGCCATGTCGTACTGAGAGAACGATGGATAGGGTTAGGATGGGCACATAAAAGACAATCTCTGCGATTGCGATGTCGCCTCGCTGGTCAAGTTTCATGTCCAAGTCGAATCCCTTGGGCTTTTACTGGGGTTGTGAGCAGATGTCTTGGGGCGGAAGGTTTATAGCTTGTCTCATAATTGCTCGTTCTCGTCATAAGCCTCGGGTAGATGTGGGCGACGTTTGCGACAGCGGTCGAGGCGGTGAGCACCATGCCAATGAGATGCAGCGTAGAAGTCCGCAAGGCTCTCCAGGAGAGTCTGGTTTGACATATCCGAGCAGCACGTCGGAAGCGCACTCACTGGGTGCGTTCCGGTCGTCGGAAACAGCATCCGGGTCCCGCCTCGCCTACTAAATGGACGCCGAAGGTGCTGATTCGACGCCGCCACTACTAGCGCTTACGGCAACTTGCAATGCTAGGGCGTTCGCTGTCAACTAGCCATGACAGCGTTGCACAGATCGTTACACATACTGGCCGTGCCCTCGCCGTAGTAGGTCAAGCAGCCATTCTACAGCCATCATATCGTCGCAACTGGTGACCATGAAACCCGGCCATAGGCGAGTACTTCAATTGTAACATACCATGGGAGGTTATGCTAGGGTCACTCTGGGATGCAGGCGATTTGATTATCGCTCGTCTGTACAGCTTCTACTGATGAATTCATTGTGGTCAGAAGACCCTATGCTCGGCGGTGCAGCTGAGCCGCAGTGAGTGCGCTACAGAACAAGGCTGTCGTCGCTAGTGCCTCCGAGTCTGTTGCGGTATTGATCACCTTTGCGAGCTGGCGGACAACCTGCTGCGCGCTCTTTGCCACGCACAAGTAAGACACATACAGGCCACATCCCATTCGGCGCTCCAGCTTGATGAGTTTGCATCGGTAGGTCCATTTACAAGTTCTTTGATGAGAGTAGCGGCCCGTGGAAGGCGTGCCATAGTCTCCCTTTCCCCCGCTTTCTGACCGAGTCCTCGTTCGGTAACGGTAACCAGTTCCAACATCGCCGACACGAGCTCGAGGAGACGGAACCTTTCACTATAGCCTAGATATCCCCGAGTCCACCACGTATGCCAGGCAAGCCGATTGAAGAGGTTGTGATGAGTTCCGCAAGTCATTGGTAGATGGGCCCATTCTTGGCTGTACCTTCAAGGTACACAGAGGATGCTCACCGTCATGTTACAGACGCGCTCGCGTGGTTGGTGAAGAAGTCCACGCGTCTTGTGCCCGCCCCGTAGCCAACAACAATCACAGTTGGTGCCCGGAATCTTCCTAACCGGGGCCGAAATAGGCAAACAAAGGCGACCTGAAAGCACCCCCAGCTGCCGAATCAGCTCGTTATTCAACTCAAACAAACACTGTTCACCCATCTTATACCTCCAGCTTCCGTCGATTACTGCCTTTCGCCCTGACGCCTTTCGCATCAACCACCGCCTTCCACTGGCCGCTGAATCGCAAACCACTCAAAGAACATCAACGAGGTAGATATGTTCGCAGCGTTCATGACGGGCGCGAAGCCCTTCGACCTCGCCGCCACACTCGAATCTTGGTCGACCGCGAACGCCGACCACCTCATCCCTGAATTCAGGGGCAAACCGAAACGCAAGGATGACCCAACCGCCCAAGCATGGCTCGACCTTGTTGAGATGGGATGTGGTGCGCGCCGCGTACCGAAGACCCACTGGCCGGACGTCGCGAAGCACTTCATGGCGAAGAAGGCGCGGGGACGGGTCATGGAGGTCGAGAAGGTGATGCGTGTGCTGCAAGGCGAGCAGTGGGGATGGACTTGGAAGAGCTTCCGGGTCGCCTTCCTGAACATGGGATGTGAGTGCATTTCTTATCCTGTACTTCCAAAACCTACGCGGGCTGCATGCTAACCATGGTTGTGCCGGTGGTTAGGGAACATCGACGAGAAGCAGACACGCGAGGTCAACGTCGAGCGCAAGACGACCGGACTCTGGCGTATCGTTGCGGGGAATAAAGACGAGTCTTCTTCGACTTCCGTCCTCGGCGCAAGGAGCTCCGGAAGCAAAGCCGTCGTGCCCGCGTCGAAGACCGTCGTCGACACAAAGCCGAACAAGCCTTCTCCAAGCAAGCTGCTCAGCTCCGTCCCCAAGCCCGCTGTGCTCCAGAAAGAGAAGGACAAGAAAGACAAGGAGCCCAAGCCCACCCATTCGCGCTCGAACTCCCTCTTTTCCCTCCCCGCGCTCCCTTTCCTTCGCGCCCCACCTCAGCCGGAGCCGTCGATGCTGAACAAGATTTCCGCGCAGGTGCCGCTGTGGCTCCTAGCAGCCACAGAGGCGCTCGCGGGGCTCGCGAACGACAATCCCGACGTCCTCACGGCGATCGCGACGGTGCTCGTGGCCGTAGGGACGATCAGTGGGGGAGGGACCGCGGCCGTTGCGGCCATCGGCGAGGCTGCGGTCGTGGTCGGGCGCGCGCTGAAGTCTGCACATGATAGGGTCAACTCGGGCGGCGGACACGGGCATCATGGCCACTGAGCGTGGTCACCGTCTCACGAACATGGAGCATAGGAATGCTACCTGAACACCGAGGGTGATCACACGAAGTCGCATTGTCGATGGAGTTCGTACCGGATGCTGGACATCCGCGCCGTGCATAGGTCTGCAGCCAGGCTAGTGTTGTATGTAACATAGTCGAATTTGCACCTGAACTCGACGTATCAGGCATTGCCTGTAAGAGAGCCGTCAGCGGTGTTGCTACCCTGAACGGAGGACGATCACCTTTCGAATTTACAACTCAAAAAGAGCAATGATGACATCCGAACGGCGAAAGCAGAGCAACGTAGTAGTACACGAATAATATAGTACTCATAAATGACTGTTGTACAAGTGAATGATGTCCCTATGTCGTAACGTGTATTATCGTACACTGTGCTATCACTAAAGTCGCTCTACGACTCTTCACGTCGGAGGAAACTAATATTATGTATTACCAGGTGCCCGTTGTACGACACGACATCATGACTGGGACTTCTGCGCTTCGCCTCCCTGTTGGACCTGGAGCTTTCCCTCAGTCTGCGACTGTAAGATTGTGCCGAGGCCGACCGCAAGGGAGCCAAGAGCGTGGGCGGTACTGCTGGCGAGAAAGGCGCCACCGGCGCCAGCAGAGATAGCGGGAAGAGCAGGGAGGGAGCCGACGGTGATGAGGACGGCAGAGAGGGCAGTCATGACCTTCGGGTGCTCATTCGTGAGGTACTCGAGGGACTGGCAGGCATTGACGAGCCACGTCGGGACTTGGGAGACAGTCGTCACGGCTGCACAGGAAAGAATACCTGTCAGCCTACTTGAAGGGCTCGAAAGGAAGCATATTGGCACTTACTACCGCCGGGAGTTCCAGCAGGAGAGGCAACAGCGGACGATTCTGGCGTCGACACGGGGGTATTCCTCGCGGAGGAAAAGAACGAGCTGATGTTTGACGTCACGGAAGACGAGGACGCAGACGAGACGCTGTCGACGGAGCTTATAGAGCTCATCGTCGCTGATCGTCGAGGCATCGGCATGGGAGGGAGGTTCTTCATCGTCGAGCCAAAATCGAACGACCGCTGGGTCTTCGGCGGTGGCCGAGGAGGAAGTGACTCCACAGGTGCAACTTCCTTCTCCTTTGTCTCGTTGTTCCTCCTGCCGACGATCCACCAGAGTCCCGAAGGCTTGCTCTGAACCTCGATCGCCTCGGTCTTCTGCGAATCGACGTCCCCTGTACCCAAACAGATGACGTAGATAAGCGCGTCACGTCCATGAATCATCTGCCCTGATCAGCAGAGCGGAGAGGAGCGAAGATCTACGCACAGCCCATATTGCGCATCGCGATCTTGAAGTTCTTCCACGTCCAGCGGTACTTGCCGCCGTGCATGTTCTTCATGACAGCCTTCAGCTCGTCGAAGCGCGCCTTGGCCTTGTCCGCCATGTAGTGTTGCGCGACCTTATGCCAGTACTCGCGTGGAACCTTGCGTTCGATGCATCCAGACTTGATTTGCGCGAGCCAGTCGTCGACGGGGAGGTCCTTCTTCGGGTTTCCGACGAACCGAGGGGCGTCCTTCCACTCGGCGTAGATGGGCTCGAGGTCGAAGGCCTTGATCTTGAACGCATTCAGCATATTGTTTGGAAGCGAGAAGGGCTAAAAGGATGTAGAGTAGAGGTGGGGATGTTGCAATGAGATGATCCGAGCTCCAGGGAGACATACGCGTCGTGTACTTATAGGTCATGCGGGAGGTCAGACCATGGTCTTGAGGCGCAGGGCCGTGGACGATCACCTCACGGGATGCACGCCTGCGCAGACAAGCGAGCTGCGTATCTGCATCAGGTGGGAAATTAACTTCCGCCCGAGTCTGGACAAGAGGAGTTGGGTCGAGCAGTCGCAGGTGAAACGCGGGAGGATCGGTGCGCCGGACTGAGAGGCGCGAGGATGGGCGATAGAGTGAAGTGGCAGGTATCCGGTCCCATGAACAAGTGGGTGGGTCTGCTCGCTCGAGACACGGTAAGTTGTCCGACCTCGTGTGCACCCTAAATCCTGGCTGGACTAAGTGATGTGTGCTGCCACGAGGACTATTAGTACTCACCTCATGTTCTGTGGCCTGACTTACCGTCCAGCCCAGGTGACACGAATATTGATATTCGCACGTCTATTGCTGGAGTATGTTGGGAACGTCGACTTCATATGTATTGCGATGGGTCTTTGATCCAAACCGAAGCCGATCCTGGTAGTAGCAAGGAGAGCCGTTTTCGAGGAGGGTAAAGTTTGAAAGTCGGAATAATGGACCTGGTATCTATTAACAGGTTGTTAACACGTTAATTAACGGTTCAAAAGCCCAGGGGCCTATCAGCCCGGTTATATATTGTTCCAAAGTCCGGTCGGAGGCAGTAGGCGCAAGATACCGAGTTCAAGATAGAAGGCGAGGTTGATCTCCATGCGAAAGCCTTGCGCATGCTTTTGTGCGACCCAGATGATGGAGACAAGGATTACAATGAGGATAGGGTAGCAGATTGCGAGCCAGGCAAGATGATATAACGCGTGGTGATCGTCGATTCAATACTTAGGACTGCTTATAAACCTCGGCGACGTTAGAAAATCTGCTTAACTCTTAATAACACAAGGGCTTATAAAAGTTATTAATCCCGTTCAGAAACGGCCTGATTCGGGCGCCTGTTCATAACTCTCTGTTCGAAAACGATTCTGTTTCTAACCGTACCCTGATTCGCTTGGTTCAGTATAAAGGCGCTCGACTTGGTGGTGGGATCCGGTCCGATACCCCACTTAGTTCGATAAGGTTCGATTCGCAATAGAACTATGGACGGCAATGATCCAATCGACGCTCGAGCACTACTGCACGCCGCTACCAGGTATCAGCACCCTCATCGACTGCGACTTACTTCCACTACGACCTTGGCCCTCTGAGACTATGGAGGTGAATTTCAGAAAGATTGATATCGATCAATACGACGAAGATGCACTACTCTACAACGAGCTGTACGATACCGATCCTCGAGACCCTGCGCAGGCCCTGGACGACACGAAGCAGAATGCCGCCGCAGTACGGGGTTCTCTCGCGAGGTGTGTCTTCATTTCGCAGCCTGTGGAAGCATGATACTGACAGGAATATTGGTCTATAGAAATGACTACGTTGGAGCTCTAACATTGGTGCTCGAGAATGCGCCATACGGCCCGAATGTGGAGGAGGCGAAAGTACGTTCCAGTCGTGCGCGACTGCTCATGGGTACTTATGAACCTGTCTACATCGTAGAACTTGAACCTCCAGACACTAGTAACCATTTTGAATAGCACGAAGGGTACGGACATCCCGGGCATCGTGAAAGCACTGTCAGCCGATGCGCAAGATACTCTTATGAAATACTTGTACAAGGGCATGGCTTTGCCGGGTTGGGGAGACGTGAGCGGTAGTGTTCTTCTGGGTTGGCACGAGAAGGTGCGTCGCTGTGCTCTTCGTCCTTTGCTCAGTCTTGACCAACACTATCACAGTTGACGGAGGTGGCGGGCACTGGTTGTATTGTTCGCGCGATGACGGACAGAAAGCTTGTATAACGACTCACAACTCAGTGTACGATATTGGCAGACTTCAAGTGCTCTGTATCCCCTTCCTGGCATCCGTTCATGGAACGTCCATGCCGTCTTGTCGCGCCCCATGCTGTCACTCGCTTTTCTTGTCGCCTCTAGACGTGCTACCGAATATACCCGCATGATCTATGGCTGCGCCAATATGGCACACACTGCCTTCGGGTAGTCAGACGTCTCAGGGGCTAGGATGCTCCAACGACTGCAGCGCGCTGGGCACCGACCCGGGAGTAACTCCTCACTTCGCCCTCCACCAACTTCACTGCCGCAACAATAGTGTATATTTGGTAGAGTTTAGGGCGAAATATCTTGGGCTATCTGACATTCGCTCGATATACAGACGCGAATTTTCTGAGTGAAGTGGAGCGTGAGGATATTTGCTTTTGAGCGAGCGTGTGTCGAATTTACTGGTACGGTGGCACCCTAGATGCCCTGGGCGCTAAACGTACCACCCATCGCGCAGGCATCCCGCGGTGCGTGTATAGCACTGAAGAGGGAGGATCCTGAACACTGCTTTCCATCATGGAAACTCACGACATTGACAAATCTCTCTAAGGACACAAATCATTCTGCAGCAGCGTTCTCTCGAGGTCAAGTGGAGCACGATCTCGAGCGATCTCAATTCGAGCCTCGATATTGTGGCCCAGGCTCTGGCAAATCCTGTACTGGATCACAAGCATGATGTTTCGCTTGTCTTCTTGAGTAGAGGGCCCTGCCACTCGTTCTTCGATAACACCATTGCTAGCCATGCCATGAATGGACGCCCCGTGCACATTATCTTCTCAGCAGATGACGCCTGCGGGCGGCTGCATGCCGACTCACGTTTACTGCACCGACAGGAAGAGTTCGCAACGTTCGAAGACGTTGAACAATTATCAAGTGCGCTGGATAGGGCACCGAAGGCCAAGCGGGGATTGTGTACTGCTGGTGGAGGTACCATCAACGGACTCGCACGCCATAAAATTTCCGCTCGCTTGAGCTCATCTGCTAGCATTGCGTGTTCCCTCATGCAGCAAGACGTAGAGCCACGCTGTTGTGGACGGTGAAGTTGTCGGTGACCGTATCGATGTCGGAGGCGTTAGAGCTGTGAGTGATGTTGCCGAAGCGGCCGAATCCGTCCAAATCGTAACTTCCCTCTCGACCACCACCATCGCAGGCACCGTCTGCGACAGCGCGCAACCTATCCACCCCACTCTATTTTATGCCCAGTAGGCCCTTCGAAGCTCCCCCCAGAAGAGAGAACCGACACAAACCGAATCGTACGCACCCTTCAAATCCTCGCCAACATGGACACGCACACAACCTGCATGCTGCTAGCGGGACGGCCGACGTCCTGCTCACCGTTCCGTCAGAATCGCTCACCCACATCACCTCCTACCTCGACCCTCCGGACCTGCTCGCTCTCGCGCGGACATGCAAGCGGCTCAACGCCCACGTAGCGGACGACAACACCTGGCGGCGGGCGTACGTCTACCAGTATCTCGGGATCACACCCGAGAGCGACCTACGCAATGATGCGGGCGACAAAGTCGTGATGCTGAGACGAGACGAGAGCTCCTGGAAGAAGGAATTCATATTGCGGTACAATTTGCGGCGGTACGTCATGCTTCATCTTTCCAACTCAGGGAGGCAAGGTCCTCGGCTGTGCGGCGTCCCTGTACGGTTGTTATAGGACAGTCGTTGGTACCTCGCCGTTAAAATGCGTTCGGCTGCAGGCCATGTGGTCCCTGCTCAAGCAGGCGTCGCAAGGCGTATCGCGCGACCATGCAGAAACAGTGTGTCATGGAGGCAGAGCTTTGATGACCGTTCGGTCTATAGGGTCCCACTGGCGGACTTGAAATCAAGCCAGCACTGTCGCTTGACTTTTCGGTGCTTCTTATGAAGCTATTCAGCTTGGTCCGCTCAGTGGGGATGTAGCAAATCAACAGAATCTTCTGGCAACATATGAGCTGACATCCTAATGCCGTGCTTTGCTCGCATCCTCTACGTAGACATCTTCGTTGCTGATTACTCAGCAACGAAACACAACACGCCTTATCCGCCCATATCGTTTCCCGAGACACGAACTCACAATCCGTAACAGACGATGGGAATACTCCCGCAATACAACGATATCTCACATCCCCCATCATTCCGCGATATCGGTATTGCATCTCATGCCTCACACCACACTTCTAGCGGCATCGCTACAGTACGGGGTGGTCGCGCGATCTTATCCGCTATCCGGCAAGGTCCTGCGCGGATTCCTGGATGCGTCTGGGACGCTCAACGGATTGGGTATAGGCAACCCTAACGCTGAGTTCTCTCCGCACGTCTCTTCTATTGCGCTTGCTTCCGAAGGCGGGACGGCAAAGGTCCTGTGGGGATTCCGGAATGGCGAAGTTGCGGTCACGACCGCGCTACGCGCCATGGATCACAACAGGACGTCAGGCGCCAGGTTGGTCAGGTGCCGTCTTGGGGACTGTCATGAAGGCGCCGTCGAGATTGTCGCATTCGCTTCCGGCGATGAAGGATACGTCTTCGTCGTCAGTGGCGGGGCTGACGGGCGGGTAAAGCTATGGGGGGTCAAGGCCAATCAGCTCGAGTGCTTGTGGACTTCGAACAAGGGATCGTCCCTTGTCCCGGACCCATGCGTCAAACTCGCCATGGACCTACAACAAGGTGTCATTGTGTCTGGTTTACGGAGTGGCAGCATCCTTGTATGGATAGGTTTCAACCTCCAGTCTGCAGACGCTTCGGATGTTCCTGCACTAGAACCTCGGGAGCTGCGCATCCCCGTGCCAACTGTCTCTCCTGGCGCAGTTCCTCTAGACTCGCCCACCTCACCGCTCGAGAATCTCCCTCAAGAAATCTCGGAGCTCCGCATCGCACCTCCGAACGACAGTTTGTCACTTCTCGTCGCTTCTCATCCCAGTACATTCTTCCACCGCCTCTCCTGGAACGCCAGCACAGGCATCTTTGACCGGACGCTCTTCGGAGATGAGCACATGAGCGCAGTTCGAGTTGTTCTGCCGGTGTGGGCCTCGCGGAGGGATGAACGCCATTTCGTCATCGCAGGTGATCAACTCGGCAACATCGCGGTCTTCCCTTGGGACGCCCAGCCTTCCTCTTCGGTCGGTGACCACCCTGTGCACGCCGTCCGTCGGTTTGCTGCCCACGAGGACGGGGCAGTGACCGCGCTCGCACGGAACTCCGCCGTACTAGTGTCCGGGTCCTCCCGGGGAACCATCAAAGCGTGGGATGCGCTAACCTTCGCGCCTCTGCGTTCGTTCCCATCTCCTGCCGCCAGGCCCTTCGCGGGCGGAGAATGGGATCCTGTCTCGCAGATTCTCCTGGAACGCGATGCGATGATAGTATCGGTTGGCAGCCGAGTGCTAGCGTGGAAGGCCGGTCCGGTTGGTAAATCCACCGGGCACGGCAAAGGAAAGCTGAGCACTGCTAGTACGAGGCATAAGAACGGCGTAGCCAAATGGCAGCGTGAGTGTCGAGTCTCAATTGCATTTGTTGCCGTCCTGATTTGGGCAAATGACGTTCGTTTACTGACATATCGTCTTCGTTGCTTCTTGAAGAGCAAATTGAGATGTATCGCGACATCTCCGAATCCCGACGCGAGCTCGAGGAAGAGCAGACGCATTCTAGGCGAGTCTTCGGACGCGAGAAGGAGCAGCTTTCCACGCTCGCCCATCTTGGGTTAAGCGAAGTTGAGGCTGTCGAGTATGTCTTGATGCTGAGCCGGGACGAGGAAGATGCCCGCCGGCGGCGGCGGCGGCGGCGGGACGTCGCCCATTCACCTTTCCCGGAGGACGAGGGTGTGTTCATGGCGGACTTTGACGACGTGCCGACTCCCATGGCAACCAGGAGCAGCATGTTCGGCTCGGAGGCGTCGTCTGCCATGTCGTTCAGAGCGTCATCGTTTTCTGCTCATTCATCTCCGACATCGGGTAGCTGGGCCGACGGCACACATTCAGGGCGCTCCTTGCCGCTCGTCGTACCTCCATCTTCGCACCACAAGGTCCAGGTGTCGCCCCGCCTCCACCCCGAGCCTATGGAAGCGGGTCCCAGCACGAGTCCCATGCCGACGAGGAGCGTCAGCGGCAGCGGCAGCGGGCCCCTTCTACCCTCTGACCTAGAAAACTTCCCTGCGGTTAGCCGCACTCCTTCGTCGGCGTCGGCGTCGGCGTCAGGGTCCAGTGCTAGTTTCAGGGGATCATTTCCGAGTAGCCCTCAGTCGGTTAGGAGCGCCTGGAGCACACCACTGCCATCCCTTCATTCGTCCCAGGCGCCTTCACCGTCCCCAGTCATGGGTAGCCAGTCACCGGCGCAGAGCCCGATACGCTCACTGTCTGAAGTGATCACGTCGACTCGGGTTCAGGGTCCCGCATCCTACACTCAGGAAGATAACGACCTTCGCTTCGCTATAGAGTTGAGCTTGGCCGAGGCGAGAAGTCGCGGAGAGGATGTCTGAAGGCGTTGTGCCAAGTATGGTTGGTGCGTATCCTCCACTAGTGCCTTATGCACCCGCTCAACGGGCCTCTATCAGTTTGAGAATAGAATTGTTGCCAATCTTAGAGGCACTGAATCGTCGTATGTCTATGAGCTTCCCTTTACTTTCTTTATGCCTTAGGATCAAGAATATATGACCTTCGTATCGAACAATCAGTTTTCGCGTCGACGATAACAGTGACCCGTGAAACAACGGTCCAGCGTCCCGCCACTATACTCAACGTCAACAGAGTTTTCACCCGCGCATATCGATATCAATACCTAGGAGACCAGTGATGTGGAGGTTGACGCAACTGATGACCAGCTACAAGTATGGTAAACCGTTCAACTCGCTGACAAGGTCACGGTGAATCTCCGCACGTCCACGCGCCATTACGGCGACTACAGTTGCACTGACAGAGTTGCCACTGTGACGTGATCGTTTCTCTCCGCTGGGGCTCAGCTTCGTCCCGATCCCTCGACTTCACGGTAGTAAATTGGCGCGGTTTTCACCGACAAACTCGGCCTACTACCAACCGTCAGACCCTCATGATTTCTCTGCGCCCTCTGGACCTGCTATTACTTAGCTGTTACTCCCCGACTTGACAAGATTTTGCGTGCCATCCTTCGGTGGCGACTGGTTCGTCGCCATCGACGGACAAGTAGCCGCTCAACGCTCAGCGGACGACCGTGCTCTCGCGTCAGCAGCTAGCAGGTCTAATGCCTGGCCCTGGCTTACATCTTAGTCTCATTTCCTTTCGTCAGCAGCGAACATCGCATTCTCCGGACATGTATCGTAAACGCGTTCAGTCATTCATCGCACTAGTGCCAAATCCATCCGGCTGGTCCCTTCCGCCACCACCTAGAGTCTCCGAACTGTACATGGTGCGCTTCTTAATAGCATCCTTGTTTGTCCAAGACATTCCATTATTCAAGTTCCTCGTCTATGGCGCCGTCATGTCGGAGTCCATGAACGCGCCCCGAAAGCAATAGCGTGGTTAGATCTTATCTAGTGCCTGAGCGCCTGTACCGGCCGTGAGTCCGTCCATCTCTGATGTGCATGAAGACATTGTTCAAGACAACGATATCAGTCGCGCTAACGAACCTCTGAGCCGGCACCGAGAACTTTGGACACCCTTGAAACGGTGGTCATAGAGCGTTGAAAGTGACGTATTGCGAATCTCTGAGAAGGTATGTATCGGGTCGCTACATGTGACCTTGCCGTTTGTGTCTAACCAACTCACCTCGATTCTCGCGCTCACAGACGGTCAGAAGTGAAGATGGATACTAGATGTTCACTTCATGCTCATATTTCATCCACAAATTGTGTATGTAGTGATTGTGGACAGCGATGTTCGCCTGCCGGCGTTGCAAACCCGCGCTTCTTCAAACTGTGTGTCTTCCGAACGTCACGACGGTTGTCGCTGATTACGAGAGCATCGATCGCGAGCGACATTCCGGGATACCGCTGGACGCCTCACTACGCGTCTGACATCAAGTAACGCTTCGGCATCTTGCCCCGTGGTACGGCCGACTCATCGCCAAGAAGCAAGCGAGCCGCACAATGGCGTCACGAGGCTGTCCTCGTCATATCCCACATGCATCTACATACTTACATATGCCACTCATCTTATGCTGTTCTGCTGTGAAACTGATACGTACTGACTGCTCGCAGTGCGGTCCATGAAATGCGCCGGGCGTCATAGGTCCGAGTAGATTCAAACTTGTTCATCACCGCATGCACCATACAGCCATAAACGTGTCGAACTAGTGCGTTTGCGCCTGCGTGGTAAATGCATTTGTCATGTGGACCATCTTGTGAGAAAATGTTCTATCGATGTTCAAATCCTGGGCGTCTTTCTACATTCTCTGACCAAATCATACCAGACATTCAGTCCTGTTTTCATCATATTACAAGGCGTCAAGAATCCTCAAACACTCCTTCTGTATCGCACTCTGTACTAGTTGTTACCAGGAAACAGTGCGACTATACATCGTGATTACGGCTTGAACTTTGAAGTCGAAGCAATACCGTATATTCCTCTCGTTGCCATTTTACAAAAGTCGACCACGATAGCCTGTCAGGCAATCTTGCCTTTTTCGACAACAGCAGTCTGCTCCACTGACCAGCTTAACCCGGATTCGTCCTAGCGCATGAACCTCCGTTAACCTACACTCACGGACGGCTCTCCGGACCGGCTGCAACTTACCATCCGATTGATTGTTCAATCCTTACAGCGAAGTCGAAAGCGTTGCAACGCGTCTTCTAGAAGGCAGGAGGTCTCAGTAATATATCATGCAACGGATTTGTGGGCGCGATGGCAGGCCCTTGGCCACATTCTGCATTTCGGATGAGCTACATTGTGCCTAAGGGCACACTCGTGTTGAGGGCGCTTGTCAGTTCCGCCTCCATCCGATGATTGCGATCGACACGACCTGATCGGCACGTGGAAGTACTGATTGCGCTCTACCCAAGGTCTCGTACAACTGAACATGAGTGGAGCGAACATACGGAACAATTACAGTAAGTCCGGCATTTCCTTTGTGCCTTGAACACAAGGTACTTAGCGTTCATGTCCTGCCTCGCGGCGAGAGCCCTTGATCTCGAGCGCGGGTATAGAGTATGTGGAGCTGCCTAACCCATCCTGGCAGACGACATGCTCAGCCGTGTGAAGACTGAACAGTTCAAGATTTACTGCGTGCTGGTACAGCCCATTGCTGACGCGATTCTCCTCCACAATCGGAGGTAACGGTTTGCCAGAGATGAGTCCGAGGTCAACAGGATTGGTTAGTAGGACACCACTCCGAAGATCCAGTAGCAGCGTACCTCCTCCTCGGAAAGTTCCATCTGGACATCGGTGCGTGGACCCACAAATGCCGGAAGACCCCTGTGAAAAAACAAAAACTCATGTCCTAGCGAAGCCACCGTGCTTCACGTGGCTGGTTAGCGGGATCGATTGCATGCGCTGATAGTGTCCCTGGCTTCTCGGATGGCGGCGGTGGCTGCTCGAACGAAGACCGGTTCGAACGATATGCCTGATTCTACCTGGCCGTTACGTCCGGAAACGCTGTTTCCGCACGAACAAGCCACTCCCTCGATGCGCCTAGTCTAACACTCATGGTTGATAGCTCAGATTTTGCAAGCAGAATGGGGAAGGTTCGTCATCCGGACATTTGATCATGCCTCACTTGGGATCGATGAGGATAACACGTTCTCGAACTTGGCGGAATAGCTAACTTGCATGCGCCTGCTCACTTCCGCGCGTCCCGACAGGATTCGCAGTGCTTGATATTTGTACACGAGCCTCTTTCAGCGAAACGACGTGAGCTGGGGTCGTCGCGGACAGATGTCTGGCGGACACCTGCAGCCGCTGTCAGCGGTTGGTGAGCGCTCGCCCGCCTGCCGTCGAGGCGCAGTTCCTGCCATCACAACGCGGCATCAAGGAGACTCGACCCGATACGAGAGAACAACGTACAACGCGCGCCTTGCGGTGGCCATGCGAATGTGTGACGCTGTACGTACCTCCTCGCATAATCTCTCTATTCAGCATCTCATTACCAAGAGTGTGGATCCAGATCTTGAATAACTCGTGGCGGCAAGGAGATCTCCCTGGCCTCAGGGTGTCTGCGGCCGGGTCGCCTAGCGCCTGGCGGTGACTGCTTTGAGATTCCCGGAGTGAATGGTGTTCGCTGAGGACTATACCATCTGCGGATCGCACTGCCCGATCCACCGTCTCGTCTGTCCCGACAGGCGGCATGCGGGAGGTCAAGCGTCCAGACAGAAGTACAAATAGGTACCGACTCAGGGTCGCTGCTTCACCAGGTCAGCGGCCCTCTACCTACCCTCTTCCTATCAACCCCTCTGATCAGCATGAGCGTCGAGCAGCTTCGCCCGTTCCCCTCTCACTTCCGTCTCAAGGACCTTGCCGCCATTACAGGCCGAGTTTTCGAGCTCAAGCTCAATCCTAACGAGAAGGAAGCAGCGAGAACGACGTATGCGTGGTTTGACAGGTGAGTTCCGTCTCTTCACCGCGAAGCCCGACATCATGCCTGTATTGATGCCTGTTATGGTATAGCCGTAACGTGTACCATGGCTTGAAGAAGAAGAAGTTTCTATCACACCGCTTCGACTCGTATGCAGGTATGAGCTTTCCGGATGCCGACGTATCGCACCTGGAGACCTGTATCGCGTTCTTCCTGTGGGCGTTCTCCGTAAGCGACAGGCATATCTCCGCGAGCATCTTCTTTTCTCTAACCGCGAAGCTTTGTCCCACGTACTGCTTCTCCGATCAGTTCGACGATCTTTCGGACGAAGGTGCTTTGCAGTCCAAGCCTGAGGCGCATCAAGTAGGCGTCGACATCTCAATGGAGGTGCTGAGGAATCCGGAAGCACCACCACCCAACTTCCCCTACGCGGCGATGCTCCATGAGTAAGTGCACGGATTGTCAGCATCGGGTGTAACGCACTCATACCTTGTCCAGCATCTGGAGACGCTTTAGGTTGACCGCGAGTCCTGGCGCCTGTAACAGGTGTGTCCGTCACCTGGGGCTGTTCACCGACGGCTCTTAACTAATCACCTATGATCAGGTTCTTTCGTGCCGTCGAAAGCTGGATGAACTCCCAAGTCGAGCAGGCGCGCAACCGTGCCACGGATGAGATTCCCTCGGTGGAGGAGTTCATCGTTTTGCGACGGAGAACTATCGGAGGTCCGATTGTCGAAGGTGAGTCGGCACTCCTGCTCTGTAGCGTACTAGTACTAATCCTCTACTCGCATAGCAATGGTTGAGTATTCGCTGGATCTCCAGATCCCTGAATATGTGTGGGATGACCCCGTCCTTCAAGAGATGTCCAAGGCCGTGATCGACATCATGACTTGGCCCAACGTAAGTCATTCTTGCTTGCGTACGACTGATTAAACTCATTGATGCCGCTTATATAGGACCTTTGCTCTTTTAATGTAAGGGCGTTGCGCGAATCCGTCATCTAGATAGCCGCTCATGGTCGTTACAGAAAGAGCAAGCGGACGGGGATTTCCAGAACCTCGTCTTCTGCATCATGATCGAGCGCGATTGTGACCTTCAGACCGCCGTGGACGTTCTCACGGATATGCTTGCCCAACGTGTGGCGGACTACGAACGCTACAAGGCGCAGCTGCCCAGCTTTGGTCCAGAGGTTGATGCCGAGCTAGCACGATACAACCGAGCCATCGAACAGTACACGCAAGGAACCGTCGTCTGGTATTATTATAGCCCACGTAAGGAATTACCTCCTATATTGGTTGTATAACCATTGATGGCAGCTTCTGTCCCTGATGCTCGGCCTTCTCCCCATTCTGGTAGGCTACTTCCGCGGCCAAGAGGTAACCGGCATTCCAGAGGTCGTTGTACCGGTGTATGAGCGCACAACACCAGCGCCAGAGGAGCCCATGGCAAGTTTCAAGTCGTCGCAACACGCCCTCGTGACGTCGAGCGGGTCGAAGTCTGTGGAGCCCCTGTCCCTACGGCTTCCGCGCTCTGCCACACTCCCCTATCATGCCCGTCTATCTTTGCTTCTCATTTCCCTTGCGGCCTGCATTCTCTATTTCAGTTTTACCTCCTTCCCTGACACTACTCTCAAGTTCCGTGTCTCTGTTCAGCACTGAGCCTTCCTACTCGTCTCTCGCGTCTCTTCACGTCCACGTTGTCCTGCTATCGTTCCGCCACTTCCCCACAACGCTCCACATCGTTCCATGTTTGACACATGAACGTGCATGAACAATTACGCCCGTATACGACATCGCCATGCCCATTGTGTCCGTCCCCGTGACTGTTCCCATCTTACCCCCCTTCCGAGCTCATCCGTCTCTCTGACTGTGTACCACTACCGCGCACACATTTATTTGCCGATATACTGCAGCTCTCCTTCTTAAGCTATCTAGCTGTCGATGCCTTGCTACGTCTGTATCCCTTACGTCACAACGATAATGTCCCGTATGATTTATCTCGTTGACTGCTCGACCGGCGTCCAATCTGGATACAAAATGAACTTTCGTGCCCCCAAAGAGTCTTCGCTTCGTGCTCGCCTTGCTTCGTAAACGTCCTTGCGTGGGTAGGAATGCCTGAAGCAAGGTTTCGAGGACTCCAGCGCTGTGGCTTCTCCCGAGTCGGAGTCCCAACACATCTCAGGCATTACCTTAGTAAGGTGGCTCGCAGGCAGGCAGGTCAAGCGCTGCGGGAGACATCAGGACCCACTCGGCCCATAAAAGGATATCAAAGAGATGTGTGCAGTACTATAGGGAAGACAGATGATGTACATTGCAAGATCTGTTACTTAAGTGTTGATTAAGCTACAATAGGTAAGGTTATTGTAGCTTTTAGGCAGAGGCGTTGGTGGAAGAGTCGGAGGTGGGTGGGGAGAACGGGGGCACAATCTTGTTGGGCTCGTCGGTGAAGACTTCATCAAGGAACGACACCCGGCGCGCGTCGAACGCACCACCGCGGCCGACCTGGTGGTGGTGCAGGGTCGGATCTTGGATGACACTACACAAGCAGAGTGTGGTCAGAGACAGATGCGGGCCTGGAGTGCGCAGGAACGTGAAGACATACACGACATTCATGGACGAGTTGACGGTGCTCGACTCGGCCTCGCCAAAAATGATGACTTTGCCGAACACGACGGCGTTGAACATGGCACCGACAGCACCGGTCTGCAGCATAGCACAGACATCAGCATCAACAACCGGCTGATTCCATGACATGACATTGGACTCACGCCGATCGCGCGAAGGTCCTTGTCCTGCGAGGGGACCGAGACGATTCCGTTGAACGTCACCTGTGCACCGGCATCGCCAGTGATCTCGCCCTGGACCATCTTCTTGTACTCGTCGCGGGACATCGACTTGCCATTGACCTTGACCGTGACATCCTTGGCAACAAAGGCGTCGAAGGCGCTGTCAAAGTCCTCGGTAGTCTTGGCAGTGTAGACAGCCTTGATACGCTGTTCGACCCAGTCTTGGAGGTTGGGGAGAACGATCTGAGCGGACATGGTTGATAGGGTCCTATGAGGTTTGTGAAGAGTAGTGTGTGCCTGGTGTGGTGGGTTGTAGCGAATAGAGCGGAGCGAAAGGGTGGTGTATCTGGGAGAGTGCAGTGAGAGGGTTGCTCCCCTTTTATATGCGCAGAACAACACTGAGCGGGAGTTCATAAGTGACATGTTGCGAGCGCCCCGCCTGCTCTCCTCCAGCACGTAGGACGACTAAAAGGCCGTAAGACATGCGCACCCGGCGAGCGCCTTTGCGGCGCCAGCTCTCAGGCGGTAAGGCGGGCTCCGTTCGCCGGAGCGCGGCGTAGTTGACATGCGAGTCGGTGAAACAGTGCCAGAGGCCAAGCCCCTCTGCGGAGTACGTCAGAAAACACCACCACAGTCCCCCCGTGCAGTGCGATGCATTGTCTGCTTACCATAAATAATTCCCGTGGCCTGATGCAAACAGCACTGGAAACACAAATAAGGCGTTGAGCACAAGGTTTGCAATGGAGAGGAACGGCTCTACATCAACCTAGAACCCTAGACATGGATCCGCTGATATCGGAACTAGACATAGTCGGTAGTTCTCCCTAGCCAACATTGAAAGGCGAACCGAGCATCGCATTCCGGTCGACGCCCTTTCACTTAAAAGATAGCATCGAGTGGAAGCATCCTGACCTTGATACAACTTTTGTTGCAAACGTCCTCGTACCGCATGCGCGTCATTTCCGAAGCCGTCAGATCGCGAGTTGGGCCTTCGGGCTGATGGTGCAGCCGATATCGTCCCCTAGTACGGTGGTTGGAGGGACGCGAACACTGTCCCCTGCTGTAGGCCTACACGGAGCGCTGTGCAGTGCCGGCGCAGTAGGCCTAATGAAACCGACTCGTGTCTATCGTGGGCGCGATTCTCCGCCCGAAGGCGTTAACTGCAAGAGTAAGTTTGTCGTTTGGCTGCGCCTCTATCCATGCAAACATGCAGGACGCACATGCCGCGGCATATTGTAAACGTAAACCACAGCTGTCCTGACTGCAGCTTGGACTGATGACTTTACAGGCGGGCGCCTTGCACATCGTGCACTGCATCTGCGAGCTTTCAACCGATTTCCGGCGTCATAGCCAAGTCTTGGGAACCATTTACACACATACGATCCATTGTTCCCCGATTTAGTGCCACTCCGAGACACTAGCTGCAGAATGTCTGGATTTCAGCAGCGAGAAAGGCCTGATATTGTTGTACGCGAACAACATTGAGTTCACGAGCAGATAGATGGAAACGCCGCTGTCCGCCCCCTACATCAACTAAACACCGATCGTCCGAGCGTACGTACCTGAGCAGTCTAGAAAAACTCAGCTCCGTCACGAATATGAAAGGCCAGGGCCGCCAGCCTAATGGACCCGTGCACTGAAACTCCGCGACCATTCGGGGGAATCTGAGGCGCCGGGTGCCCGGCCCAATACAGTGCATACGACATGGGGCCTAGAAGCTTCGTGGGTAGACGTGTTGATGACGAGGAGGCGCAGGATGACAAGCAATGGCAACCGTATACAGGCATGAAGGACGTTTGACGATTTGTAGGGCGTTTATGGGCGGTGGGCTGTGTGAACCGTGGTGACTTTCATATATGTCTTTTTGGCTGGTGCTGCAGGAAGTCACTTCCGCTAGTCCTAGAGGAGAAAGCCAGCGTGGACGGCTCCGTAGAGGTCGTGGTTGTGGTCAGAGAATGTTTTGGGCGGCTGACAGCTTTCGGAACTCGGCACGAGTTGGGCGCTCTATCTCTTCGGCCAAGTTCGCCTAATTGTGCGTTTCTCGGCCTTGACATCCCTTTACTCCTCCATAGCCCTTGAAAAGAGTTCTGCAGAACATATATACCATGGTAATGGGACTGAATTAATATGAGGAGTTGAGTATGATCACGCAAACGACAGTCTGTATCCACTGGATTCTGTAGGACAAGGTGTCCGATAGAGAACGGATAGAGCAGAATCAACAGAGAGCCCGTCCTACTTGTACGATGGCATGTCGTACGGCCCGGGCTCCTTCGTACGCGACTGCTCCTCAGAGAACCGCGGGCGGCCGGTGGTGTTGTCTACCGCAGAGTACTGTATCAAACAGTACGGTCAGCGTCTTGTCCGTATCATTACAACATCGAGCGCGACCGGTCCGAACCAGCGGAGAGACGTAGAGAGAAGGGAGAGGTACAGGGGGGTAGACAAGCCGAGCCCCGCTCGAGCTTTACCAAGACTCCTCGCCCCAAACCTAATACCTGGGCGGCAAGTCCCACCGCTCCTCCGGAAGCTTCTCCGTGGAGCCTATCTCCGGCTGGTTGTAGTGGCTGGGCAAATTGGGGATGCTAACCTCGTCCTTCTGCAGCGGCGTGCACACGCCGACGACTGTGTACAGCAGCACCGTGGCGTACTCCGTCACGAGCGCCATGATGATGTAGAGCGTGAAGTCGCCCGTCGCGGACACGAACTTCTGCAGCGGGTCGTCGCTGTGGTCAATGGGCATTCTGTTGCCCTCGTTGTCGAAGCCGAACGTCGGCTGCGCGAACGAGCCTAGGTTCGCGTACAAGACGCGAACGAAGAGGAAGGGCAGCGACGCCACGACGGCGAGGAGAAGCTGCAACGCGGGTGAAGGTGTGCTCTCTTTAGGAAAGTCTGGCACCAGGAGAAGGGGGCGTACCTTACGGCGATACTTGAGGATGCGGCCGCGATGCGAGAGGCACCAGAATGTCGCTCCCGCGAGGAGCAGGAACAGGATACCAGTCACGGCGGTCCCGAGATGGCGCAGGGTGATGCCCGTTGTGAGCTTTGACTGGTCCTTGGCCGAACCGTACATCGATCCGCTGTACGCAGTGAGCGCGACAGCTACGCTACCTAGAAGTCCCAAAAGCTTGAGGCCACGGCTCATGATGAATGTGTCGTCGAGCGTGTATTGTCCGCTGTTCTCGTGTGTCAGTAACAACAATCCGATCGAGGAAAAGGGATGTCAGTAGTTGGCTACGCACACAGTGCTGAGCAGACCAATCGCAGCGACGATCAACGGTGACACTCCGGCAGACTCGAGGCCTGTCGCAATGGCGGCAAGGGTGACATCCGACGGGTTCTGAGCCGCGATAAGCTGCAGGACGCCGCCGACAATTCGGACTAGATGGGTACACACCATCAGCTCTTTCCACCGTGGGACTCAGGGAGCGTACTCACCCAGGGCGAGGATCAGCAAGGAGATCCAACCCGCTCGACGGCTGAAGCCATGACGAAGGACGAGGATGCCGGAGATCACAAGGATGGGAATGTAGAGAACGATCTGCACGATCGATACCGCGCCGTGCTTGTCCAGCTGCATGCTGTTGATGGAGATGATCGTGAACAAAGTGAGGTGCAACTTATGGAAACTTGAAGTTGGACGCTGGTTATGGTAAGTCCAAAACCGAAAGTGGTCGTGAACAGAAGACAGTGAAGGAGAGCAGTAGAAGGGGAGGCTAATTGAAAGAGAAGGTTTGCTCGACGTTCCCCACCTAGAACGGCTGGCCTTTGTAGTCCGGCGATTTGATCAAGCTAGGACCGAGGGGGCGCAGCCTGAACGGAAGCGCAGCCTGCGAGACGACGCAGATAGTTGGCTCCAGTGCTACGAGTCACAGCTTCTCAAAATTTGCGAGGACGTCGGTTGGAGATTGTTCCTGCAACACTCACAAGAATGAGAAGCACTAGTGCGAAACGAGGGCGATGTCGTTAGTGTCGCCTTTAGGAAGTCATGATTCGCTATGCTGTCGTCAGGCATCCTCAGTCCGCCGCTCAGAGCGGCGGATTGGGGTAGAGTAGCGGCATCGCATTGATGATATCAGTGCCCTCGACAATGTTGGGGTGTTGTTGATGGCGAGGCTCACCCTTGGACCGAGCTTGGGCGTGTGTGTGCGAAGTACGTGTAGACTCGACATCTATCCCTTGCCATGTCGCTCAAGATGCGACCGGGTTTTGAGCGCATATAGGGTACACATCGTAGCGGACGTCTGAAAGAGGACGATCCTGGGGTGTGATGAAGAGGCGAATGACCTGTCGAGGTAAGCAGATAGCAGTACTCTTCGAAAGTACGTCGTGTATTCTGGAGCTGCAGCAATTTCGTCTCGTGGCAAAGGCTTGCAACACAGCTGTATCAACATACCACCACAACTTCGGTCCGCGACGCCTTCGGTAATCGCAATGCATGGCAGTTCCCAAACCTTCTTCTGTGAAGTCGGTCCGCGTTATGACGGTAGGTCACGAAACCGGTGTCGCGATGTCCAGCAAATGGATTGTGCTGGAGAACACAAGATTTACAGGCAAAGGCTAGAGCCCGGGTCATGAATTACCGTGACGGCTTGCTACGTCATGGCGGGGAGTTGGGCGTGCTCGAGTCGATCGGCGAAAAGTCGATGAAGAGGGGACGCACAAGATAAACTCCTTGTGGATACGTCGCCTGGACAGAAGTCTTTGGACCCGAATCCCTGCAGTGCGTTGTCAGGAGATTGCAAACGATTCTGTTCCCACGAATACAAACCCAGTCTTAACTTGGCTTCGGGCGTTTGGGTATCAGCACCGGCCACAAAATATCTCGCATGATAGTGACTGAGTTTCAGTAGACACCAACGCCTTCTGTGCGATAGTAGAATTCAGAAGTAAACAGTTTGTATGAAGGGAAGGTGAAGATGCTGATATCTAAAATCAGAGGAAGCACAAGACATCAAGACTAGCGAGGGCTTGGTGCGCACGACGGAGCTGCACTTTGATATTCGTGCCGAGGAAGCTTAAGCCAAGTTCCGGGTCTCGAGCTCCAGAAAGAGAGGACCATTTTGACCTCGTGACATTTGCGCACGCGTGATTGTGATTCTGGTCTATATCTGGCGTTGCCACAGACAGGGCAATCGAGCATAGCTTGACAAAGCAAGTAGGGATGCATACAAGTTAGCGTCGATATCCGGTCGCAGAGGACCGACTTTACCCTTCTGGATCAAGCGGGTTGTGCGCATCTACCTCCCAGCAGATATCTTGCCCTTCATAGGCAACTACGGATTTCCAAAATGGTGTCCCACTTGTAGGAGGGTACGGAGAATCAGACCAAAAGCACAAGCGAAAGAGATCAAAAAACACATCGCCGGCGCCGCTGAGCTCGAGGACGCCCGTGATCGCGGCGTGCGCCCGCAGCAGCGTTGGGCTTGGAAGGTCGACTCCCGCCTGAACAATCGCACGCTGCGGCAGAGGGCGTGCGCACGCATCGTCTGTGCCTGCACTGCCAGAAGTGGGTTGTGAGATGGGTGTGTCTGCCGCTGGTGGTGTGCGAGGGTATTTGGCACTGTTGTCCCGGAAGGTAATGGTATCCGCGATGGCTTTCCCACCACGCTTGTATGTCTTGATAGTGTAGCAATGTGGAATCTATTCACCAGCGCCGTCAGACCCATATGAGTGAACGATGTGATGGGCATTCAGCACTCACCTCCGTGGGACACATGCACCAACCAAAAGTGAGGAACCTAGGGCGGCGACATCCTCCAAGTGACAGGAATGCATTCTGAGGTTCGTTCTTTGCGGCCATGCGCCTCATAGTGCCTGCTCTGATGCCGCAGAATTGTTCTAACACTTCGTAGCTAACGGCCTGCTCAAAATGGTGTGGAGGGACATCTCGTGATAATGGAAGTGATGAGGGGGAGCGCACCTCGTCATCCTTGTCCATGATCTGTGTTTGCATAGGAGGAGGAGGGAAAATAAACGTTAGGAAGTCGACCCCACACTTGGGCTTCCCGGCACGCAGCTCAAAAGGCGCTTGGGAATGAACAGTCCCTGTCATAGCGCAAGTGTAGTCATCTCGCTTGAAGATCTTGACTAGAATGAGGGCTGAGCAACGAAGTAAATTGACACCAGAATGCTCACCTCATCTTGCATACTGTGCCAGCAACGCGACAATACTGTGGTCTCATCATCAGTGCCTTCACGTCCTGGACACGGGTAACGCGGACAAGCCAACTCCCGAATATCCTTTTCCCATGATGCCGTACGGAGGCCGTCCATCAACTTGTACCCGTTGGCGAAGACTAGGCCTTCGATGAGACACCCGCGCCGCCCATTAAAACGAACTTACATGGCCACAACATGAATGCCACTCAGCTCGTAGCAAGGTGCGTGAGGGCCTCTGCTAGCCGCCTCGGTTTGTCTTCGGACAATACCTCCGTTGCCTCGATGCGACTTCCGCATACGCAGATGGCAGCCGAGACGTAACGCTTGCCCGCTGGCGACTGCAGCTCTTCTGCTATTTGATACATGGCATCGAAAAGCCGGCTCGAAGTGTACTCAAAGCCCGAGCCCAACTCCATATGTGCAGATGAGAAGCGCTGGATGCGGCGCACCCATGCCGGAGCGTTAATGTCGACAAAAGACGGGAGGCGCAAGACGTCGATGTGTCTTTTGGCCCGGGAATGTAGAACGTCATCAGGGAAAGCAGCATTTGCGATGAGCCGCTCAGTCGCGTCGGTGAAGGCGCGTGTGAGAAGATGGTTTCGAGGCATGGCGAGGCCGCAAGTCGCGTTTTCGAATGTGTTGTATGGTAGACGCTGTATATATATATACAGACCTACGGTCCTGAGTCATAGGGGCTTGTCTGTACCAACGCCCGAACGCGCTTAGGCACCGTTTGGTACGTCTTATCCGAAGTTTTGAAAACGCTGCATCTGTGTGGGCCGAATTTGAACAGCATCCGAGAAACGATGGGTGCAGAGTCTACCAGGCCCGTCACGATGACGACCGGCCCAATATCGATGCGATCCGGAATTGTATGCTCGGCGGATGGCCCCACAAACTAGAGCAAACGACCATTGATCCAGGCAAATACCTCTCCCGCGCGGTCGGATACGATGTTGGGAGTTCGAATAGGTAGAACCGAGTCTTAGAGAGCTGCAATACGAGCTTATGCGTATCAGGCTTTCGTCAGCCATGTTTCGACCAGAAGCAACTCCCATGGCATGACTGTGGGAGTCACAGTCGAGCGTGGTAGACTTCGAGAGACATACATAGATGCCATAGCTGGCATGACGAGTCGGCCCCTCTACGACCTGCGATAGAAATCGAAGTTACACTTGGCGCGGTATACTGCAAACATGACGTTGCTCAGGCTCTGTTGACAGAGTCGACTGCTACAGCTTCGGAGACGGCTGACACGGCGAGGAGGCCGGTTGAACGTAACATTGAGCTGGGTCCTAAGTTCTGTCCGGTCCAGTCGCGACATCCCAGCACAGCCCAGCAGCATCTGCGCTTGCTCGGCGCATCGATTCAGATAGCCTCGCCTCGCCGATTCCTGGTGTTCCAGCCTTGGACACTTCCAGCACGTCTAATCTTTCTCTCCCCCCCTCTCGTCGCTTGCGAACACAGGATCACCCCATCCCCAAGCAGAGCGCCTTCACCAACCCTCCCCCGGCCTGATAGCAGGCCAGCCCTCGGGTCCGACCACGCACGACGACAAGAGCAAGAGTACACCCAACACTCACATGCACAGCGCACATCCGCCCCCCCCTTGCCCCTCCCCGCAGCAGATGCAGATGCAAATGCACAAGCAGCCGCCTAGTCCTACCACTCCGGCTTCCCCCTCCAGTACCACTGCCCCCTCAAGTACTCGATCATGTCCGTCGCGCGCTCGTCCGGGGCCGCGTGCGGCCCCAGCGCCTTCGCGCCGTCGACCCACACCCCGCCCACGACGTCGTCCACATCGAGCGGGATGTCTGCCTTCTCACACACGTCGACGAACGTCATTGGCAACGGCGCGCCTACCGCCAGCCGGACGCGCCGGGGGCGGTATCGCTGCGGGGGTCAGTTAGGACTCAATTGGATAGTACGGATCGCAGCCGCTCTTTGCGGCGTGGACTAGAGAGGACGCACGTTGAGCGATATCCGGGACGAGTGCAGGAAGAGGCTGCGCGGGACGTCGATCGTCTGTGCGATCGCGCGCAGTCGCGGCAGGCTTGGGTCCAGGTACAGCGCGTCGCCGAGGACGGGGGCTGGCGCGAGAGGATTTGGGGCGAGCGTCAGTCAGCGCATGATAGAAGGAAGCGGGACGACGCGGGACGCACTGCGGAGGGCCTGTGCGAGGTGAACACGGAGCTGGTGCTTGACCCCCGTGTGCAAGCGGAGACGCAGCAGGCTCAGCGGGACCTTCGGCTGCAACCCCACCCCGAGGCGGTACGGTCAGCAAACAGCTCGAGCCGCAGCAAGGGCCCGGTACGGGAGAGGGGACCCACCGAGCTTGCGAGCACCTCATACCCGCTCACCGCGGGCTTGATCCAGTTCTCGCCGCGCTCGCGGGGGGCCCGCGGCTCGGTCTCTGGGCGCTCGTACACGCGCTCAGCGCCGGAGATGCGCATCCGACCGTTCCTGCACTCGAGCTCGGTCTCGATCGTGCCATGCGGCTCGGGGAACGCGGACGCGTCGCCGACAACGAGCGCAAGGTACGTCTTCTCGACCTCCCTAGCGGACAGCTGGTTCGCGAAGTCGCGTGCACTGTGTGCGTGGCGGGCGATGGCGAGCGCGCCGGTTGTTGGCTGTGAACGGACGAGGCTGTGAGCAGGGAATGGGCAGTGGAAGGGCGGACAGACCTTGTCAAGTCGGTGCAGCGGTCGCAGTGGCTCCTTCGCCCCGAGCTTGTTGGCCAGGTCTGTTGGCGTGTGGCGTGTGAGTGTCCGTTTCTGCTGGTACGGGCGAGTTGGAGAGCCACGCACATACCCTCCATGAACGTCGCGAAGATGTCTGCGTCGATGTTTGGCTCCTATGGATCGCGCAGGCGCATCAGACGGAAGCTCTCGAGGGTGGGAGGAAGCATACCGTCCGCCTATTTCTGGGGTCGGATAGCTGGGAGATGAGTCCGTTCGGTTTGTTGACAACGATGAGGCCGCGGTCGGCGTAAAGTAGAAGCTTCTCTGCCGGCAGCCGGTAGATAGGTCCTTTGGGGGTAGTTGTGGTATCTGACGCATTGGGCGCAGATTTGGGTCTCGATGATACTTGCCGGCGGGGCTTCGGTATCCTTTGGGGGATCGACACCGTTCTTCTGACAAGTGTCGGTTGCATGAGCGGCCGTCCAATAATGATAGGTCTAGAGTGCAGGAGGCGTTATCGCTGTTACGACGGATTACTGCGCCTTGTAAGAAAGTTTATAGTGCGTTACAGTGGTGTGCTCTAGTTGTTACAAATGAGCATGAAACACATAGTTTGAGAGAAAGCATTGCGTCGAACGTACCGTCTCGAGGCGTGACGAAGATGATGTCGAGCGCCGACGACGCGCCGCGACACGCAAATGCTTGGATGTTTGAGCGGAGCTCTAATACGCGACGCGTCTGTGGCTGTGCCCCGAGACTGCACCTACTTACTAGTTACGATTGACAAGTTCTGATGCAAACATGTAAATATGCAGTTGCGCTACATATCAAGGAGATGGTATCATATAGATGCAAGTGTTATGTATCCCTTCCACGCATCAACTGCTCAAGCCCAAGCATCTCATCGACCGAATATCCTCGACAGCCAGCCTCTCCGACCAACCGAGCTGCCTTCGTCCGCCGCTTGTTCTTCATCCAAAACCTGACTCACTTCACCCGCAAGCCCTTCCCGGTATCGCCGTTTGTACTCGGACGGGAGCTCCTGTATGCCGTGCTCCCACATCCCCCTCCGCGCGTCCCTAAGCCACACGGTGTCATCCCCAGATCACGCTCAGCATTCAGAGGAATACACAAAGATACGCACTGTGCTTCCTTTTCCAGGCGAAAGTACTCCTCCTCCCCCTCGGTGCCGTACACGGCGCCCCCCTCCTTGTACGCGGCCGCCCAGCCATGGCGCACCATCTCCAGGCCTACCGACTTGCCCTTCACAAGCCAGCCTGGGAGGATGCGCGGTTTGAAGTACGGCGCGGCGACCTGCGGATGCAACCGATGGGGAAGCAGGTCAAATCGAGCCGTAAATTAGCATGAAGGGGGAGCACTCACGATGCGCTTGTATTGATCGCGCTGCAGGAGCTGGCAATACAGCGTCTTGCCTTCTATCTGCTCCTTCAGCCACCGCAGGCTGTCTTGCGCGAACGGCTGTGTGGGCTTGCCGAAGAAACCTAGCTATGCACCCCGTTGAGGGTTGTTATGAACTGAACGGAGTGAGGGCATGGCGAGACAGCCTACAGACCTCTGGGGCGTCTACGCCGGCAATGCGGATATGCAGGGTCTGGTCTGTCAGATCCTTGCGTTCTGCGATGGAGAGGGGGTCAGCTAAGATATGGCCCGCGCACCAAACGCGACTCCGCAGCGCGCAGAAGAGGAGAGGAGAGAGACGTACTAGTGGGTATCGCCCGCGACAGCCAGCCGATCCCTGGGGTGTGGTACAGCCGGAAGTTGTCCGCGTCGCCCACACTGGTAGCATGCCCGTTAGATTTCGGTACAAAAAACAGCACGCAGGCAGCACGAGCACCTGGTGACATAGCCCTTGATCCACCGCTTGCTCTGCGTGATGTCCGGGGTGACCCACTCGCCGTTCGGGAGCCGCTTCAGGTACCGCACGTACGCGCGGCGCGTGCCCAGCCCGAGGGCTGCCCCGAGCGCGAGGAGGAGGTACGGGGGGAGCTGCGCGAGCTGAGCGTTGAAGGAGGTGAGGATCGCCTGGGGGTCTTGTTCTTGGAGGCTTTCGATTTGGGACTGCAGCCGCTTGGTATACTGGTCAACCCGCTCCTGTGTTGTTTGAGGCTTGGGAGGTGGAGGCTGCGAGGACGAAGATGAGCCCCAGGGTAGCCAAGGCATCTCGCAGGGGAGAACACAAGAACGATGACGAGTCGCTCACTAGTGTGGAATTCGCGCAAAGCGGCGAGCTCAACACACTGTTTCTAAGATCTCATCGTGCAGGAGGCTGATCCCAAAGGAGTATTCCGATCACATCGGCTCTAGCAACCGACCAGAGTACCTAGCGCAGCGCCTCCAGCCTTTCGCTCCTCCACTAAGTACACCTATGTGTGTGCTGCCATCCTGTAGTACCCCACTGAACTGTCTTCAACATCAACGTCTTAGATATCAGGCCATATTATTCCCCATCTTCACAAAATGCGGGCCGAGAGCAAGTATTTAGCTCCAGGTACGTGTCAGTGCAAGCTCAGATGCAGCGGGTCTCATGGTCGTGCGCCGGCGGCTCGGGCCGTTTTCCTTCTCTCAGATGGACGTGCGGCCTGTACACGGTTGACACTAGTGAAGCGGAGGCACACTGTCACTTAGAGTTGCGAGGTTGATTCAAGCTGCACCATCGATACCTTCCTGCCACACATTCGTCCTCGCCATCATGAACACCAGCTCTCAATCCGGCCGTCCGCTCGCATCAACCGACTCCGACGATTCCAGGTAACTGTTCAAGTCATTAACTCGTCAAAGTGGCGGACGTACCTAAGGCACTACAGCGGCAGGCCTTCGTACACATGCGAAGGATGCTGGAAGGGCGTCGTCGCGCATCAGCTCGGGCTCCTCCAGCCCCCCGTTGAGCAGCATGAGTCAGATCCGGGTCCATCTGCGGAAGGGTACGTCTACAAGGTGTCTGAGGAAGAGATCAAGCGTGGTGCTGAGCAGGGCTGTCGCTGGTGTGAGCTCCTGAGCAAGTGGGGGGCCTCCTCAATACGTTCGCCGTCGACACAGCCTGTGCCGCCGTCAGAGAACATTGTGGAGATCAGGGTTGGCTACGCGGAGGGCTGCGTTGACATCACTATTAACGGCCATCTGAGCTGGTTTGGATATGTGTACACGACGGAAGGTGCGCTCCTCTGCTATGCTTTCACCAGAAGCAAGACCTTCTCACTGTGCTTGCATATGTCAGACGACCCTGCAGCTGCTTATGTGCCTGGACGGAACCTTTTCTGCGAAGTGGGCTCGGAACGTGCTCTCTCACTCGCAATGGAGCTGTTGCACGACTGCAACCTGAATCACAGTGGCTGTCCACCGGAGCCCTACTCTGTTCTACCTACACGCGTGATCGACTGCAGTGATCCCTCGCGGCCGCGTCTCTTGACCGCCGATGGCGTGCGGGCACGCTACGTCGCCCTCAGTTATGTGTGGGGCGAGGCGCAAGAGCACAAGACGACCACGGAGAACATAGATGCCTACTTGCGCTCCATCGATGTCACAATCCTTCCTCAGACGATAGTAGACGCCATCCAAGTCACGCACAGGCTAGGTCTCCAATACCTCTGGATTGACTCGCTGTGCATCATCCAGGACTCAGAGGACGACAAGAACCACGAGCTCGCTCACATGCGCCACGTCTACGCTGACGCATACCTGACTATCATTGCCGCGAGCGCGAGCCGCGTCAGCGCGGGCTTCCTCGAGCCTCGCACGGACACGCTCGGCACAGCTGCCCTTCAGCTGCCTTTCGTCGTTCCAAGTCGTGATGCTGATCTGGCCTCCCCCAGCGAAGCGCCATCGTATGGAGCAGTCTTCCTCTCCTCGTGGCTCATCACGACACCCAAGTACGACCCCGCGCGCGAGCCGCTGCACAAGCGCGGATGGTGCATGCAGGAATACTTCCTCTCCCCGCGCAAGCTCATCTTCGCCTCGCACACGCTCCAGTACGGCTGCTTCCACGGCGGCACGCGCAACATCGCGCACGCGGATAACCCGTGGTGGGTCTCCTCCGCGCGCGACCCCACCCCCTTCCGCCGCCTCCCCAAACTGCCTCCTTCTCCCTCGCCGACCGAGCCTGCCCCTGCGCGGGAGCACGTTGAGGCTCTGCGCGGGGCGTGGAAAGCCACCGTCGAGAACTACACCAAGCGCGCGGTGTCGGTCCCGAGCGACAAGCTCGTCGCGCTCTCCTCGCTCGCCGAGGAGTTCTCGCACGCCGTCCAGTCCCCGTACGTCGCCGGGCTCTGGGCGCGCACGCTCCTCCCGGACCTGCTGTGGTCAAAAGAGCGCGCGGCACACTTCGCCTCGAGGCCACGGGAGTACCGCGCGCCGTCGTGGTCGTGGGCCGCGGTCGATGGTCCCGTCAACCCCGGGAACGCGTACTTGATGAGTGATCATGAGAAGGTCATCGCGGAGGTCGTGAAGTGCAAGACAGTGTTGAAGAACCCTGGGCTCCCGTTTGGTGAAGTCACTGGGGGCACGCTCGTCCTTCGAGCGCGCGTCGTCGTAGATTGTGTGGTGTTGCCGCACTGGGCGGTGTATCGTCGGAAGGACGGCGGCCATGCTGACGAGTCGAGCATGTCCAGATCTGAAGGTTCGACGTCCACTGTGCAGCGAATGTCCCTTGTAGATGAGCGGATGCACGAGATCGGGCTCTGCCGCCTTGACAGCGACGATGACGGCATCAGGAGCGGGGTTAAGCACGTCTCTGTTGTCCCTGTGTACTCTCGCTGGGAATCAACGCCGGGTATCGCTACTAGGGAGCGTGTTGTGCAGGGCCTCGTCGTGGCACGTGTAGACGCCGCGTCTTCTCAGCCGGTACGAGAGGCAAGGTATCGGCGGATTGGCATGTTCGAGGGCTCGGACAACGTCAATGACTGGCTGGAAAGTACTCCGGAGATAGAGATAGAGATAGTATGATGATAGCGATGTTGTTTCTACAGAACTAGTAAAGAGGAGAATAGATCAGCTCCAACACTCCTCAATAAGCCTCCCCTCCCTCTCCATCCTCGCAACATATTCCTTCGCCTTTTCCTCAGTCCGCCCTCCCTCGCTCTGAACTGTATGGGCTATTGCAGCACGCACAGCCGCGGGCATCTTGTTCGACGACCCCGAGATGTACACCCACGCACCGCGCTCCCCCACGAGCACCCATATGCGCTTCGCGTCCTCGCGGATGAGGTCCTGCACGTACGTCCTTGGCTTGCCCTCCGGACCATCCCGCGAGAACGCAACGCGATACGTCAGCTTACCCTCGGCCGCCAGCGCCCGCCACTCCGCCCCGTAGTAGTGGTCTTTGGCCTCTGAGCGGCACCCGAAGTACAGTATGTCGTCCCCCGTGTTGAGACCTGCGTGCAGACGCTCCTGGATGACGGCCCGCATGGGCGCGACGCCAGTGCCAGGCCCAACGCATATAACGGGAATAGCAGGGTCGTTTGGCAGAGTAATGAATCCCTTCTGTAGGCCGATCTGGAGCTTGTCCCCGGGCTTAAGATTGGCGAGCCACGTCGTGCAGACGCCGCGGCGGGGGATCTTGAGCATGGTGCGGTACTGGACGATCGCGATGCAGAGGTGTATGCGGCGCTGGTGGGCGCGGATCGAGCTCGCGATGGAGAATTGACGGGGTCGCAATGGGGGAAAGAGGTCGAAGATGTACTCGCGGGGGATCTTGATGGAGCGGAACTCGTCGAGGACTTCGTGGATGCGCCGGTGTGGCTTTTGGCAGTATTCGTAGAGGTCGTCCTACCATGAACGTCATATCAGATTGAGAACATAGGGATGCAGGAAGACAAATCACGTACCGCTCCCTCTTCGCTGAGGAACTCTTCGAGTTTCTCGCGCTCCATGTCGTCTTGGGTAAAATGCTTCAGGAGGGCAAAAAACGATCGTCGTGGGATGGCGTTGATATCGACGTAGCGGGTGAACACCTCGCGCAGAGTCGTAATAGTGGGTATGTGGTCGGGCAGGTGTTGGTCTGTAAGAAAAATGGTAAACAGTTGAGCGTCGGCGTGGAATATGCGCGCACCTAGCAGTGTTTGGCGGATCTCTATTGGGTCGTCTGCAGTGTTCGCATAGCCGATACATGACAAGAACGCCTCCACGTCTTGAGGCATAGCTTCCGGGTGGATGATAGCAACATCCCCCGGATCATATCTGTCCATACGGCCCGCTCAATGTCTTGCTATGTGCTCCGGTAAGTTCAGGCTACACTCACTCGACGTCCTCTGCGAGCTCAAACTCGAAGTGTCGGACATCCTGGTACCAATCCTCAGCGGTTAATCGACTGTTGACCACTAGGGTTGCAGTATGGTACTCGCGATCGGCGACTAGAGGATCCTTTCGTGTGATCTGGGCGTCCGTGTCCGCCTCTGTGATCGCGACACGCGGCGAAGGAAGGCTGTCGAACAGCTCGCGCTCGAGACCATCTGGGAGGGGATATGCCTCCAAAAGCACCGCGGAAAGCTGCTCTATCCAAGGTGCAAGCGCGCCTTCGATTCTGAAGGACTTGCGTCAGACGGCGCACTGGTGGGTCAGACATTTTCACTCCGAGAATGACTCACCCGAGATGGTGCTGTTCGTCGCCTTCACCTCTAGCGCACAGCTCGGTTCCACCAAGAGCCTCCAGACGTCGACTAAGCAACTTCGCGGGCCAGCAGAACTTTTCATATGCGGTGTCTCCGAGGCCGAACACCGCAAAGTGGAGGTCCTCGAAGAGGTCTTCGGGCAGGTCGGCGCGCAGCAGCGTTTGCCACAGTGGTGTCATCGCGCGAGGCTCGCGCCCAGTACCAGTAGTAGCTACAACAAAGATGACGAGATGCTCGTTGATCAGCTCTGCCTGTACAACACTGTCAACGACGCTGTTCGCTCTGATGGCTCAAAGCTACTGACCGGAGAGTACGCATCCATACTGTGAACGCGCGCGTGGATGTGCAGGCAGCGGCAGACTCGCGCGAGTCTGTCAGCAACATCTTGTGCCGTCCCGGTCTCTGTAGCGTAGAGGATGGTGAGCGTGCGTTCGTGGTGTGCCTCGCTGTCGCATCCGGGCGTAGAGGATCTCGACGAAGATGATGGTGGTGTGGAGGACATGTGTTATCTGATAAATTGTATGCAGCGCTTAGATGAAGTACCCGCCAAACTGGTTGCTTTTTCCATCTCTATCTCAGCTCTGAGTATACTCCCATTTGTTTCATGAACCGCCCCACTTCGCTTCTGCAATTGATGTTTACTCTGTGCTGATACGTCCTACTGTCGTGGCTCAGCACCCTTGATACTAGCCACGAAGCCTTGAGCCACACCTGCGATGCATAGCGGTGGAGCACGGCCGTATAGTACACATCGCTGATGATAGGCGCATTGCTCTCTTCTAGACTGTCCGGATCCTATCCTTAAGCCTTCGCGAACCATGCATCCCCCGTCTCAGTCAGCTCACTTCCAATCTTCCTCGTCCTCGACTCATGAGCCGCGTGATCGATCACGAGCGAAAAGCCCTCCACCTCGCCCTTTGCCACCTTGAACTCGACCCATCCCTCGCTCTCACCGGTCTCTGCGGTCTCAAATGCCGTCGTGTTCTGTCCGTAGCCGCTCGGGAACAGCGCCGTGAACGTGATGTTGAAGACGTCCCCGGAGAAGTGGTCGAGTCTGACGTGGGATGCCCAAACGTTGGGGAATGTAGCGTAGAGGGTGTTCTCTAACGTGGACGCGTTGTGGAGAGTGGCGAAGTCGGAGATGATGTCTCTGCAGTACTTGGAATAGATCGACGTGGAGCAGAGCCGGATAGGGAGGTAGCCTGGCGCGGTGTACAGCCCAGTGTAGTCCTCCAGCTTGAGGGACGGCGACTTGTAGCTTGTCGCGGTCAGCTGCTCTACCTCCGTTTTCGAGCTAGTGATGTGTTCAAATAGGCCGTGGTGTTTTCAATAAAGTGCAACAATCCAACGATACCTCTCAACAAGTGTCTTTGACATGCGGGTGCCAAGAACATCGTCCAGTATCCGCGTGAATATCTTGAAGTTCCAGGGTGCTTTCTCGTCCGCATTGCTCAAGATGACGACGCCGAGGTTGTGTTTGGGCAGGAAGGCAACGAGGGCGGAGAAGCCAGGATTACCGCCTGTATGTTCCACGACCTGCAGCGTCCACTGAGTCAATGTCAACGTCGTCTCCGCGGCGACAGCCCGAACGGACCTCGACGTCCCCATAATTGGACCGCATCCAGCCCATGCCGTAGCCGACGATGCTGTCGCGAATAGGGCCGGCCGGCTTGCCAGACACTATCCATCGCGAAGTCGTGACCGCATCGAACACGCTCTTCGGGATCACCGTCTTGTTCGTCGCCGGGTCCTGTCCTTCGTTCAATAATACCGCAAGCCACTTGACCATGTCCTGCGCGCTGGAGATGACGCCGCCCGCGCCTGCCTTGAACTCGCGTACGCTATCGTCTAACCAGAATGGGATCCGCCGACCGAATCCGGTCCAAGAGTCCGTGAGGAGGCCCGAGGTGTTCGCAACAGAGTAAGAGAAGGTGGAAGTTCTCATGCCGAGGGGTCTGAACAGGCGGTCCTCGACAAAGTCAGGGTAGGACGTATTGGCGTAGTGCGAAACGAGGTAAGCCCCAAGCATGTAGAGCTGCAGTGTAGGTGGGGCATATGAACGTGAGGGTCGTCACGAGGAAGCCAAGTGATAGGGGCGCGATAGGGGCGCTCACTTGGTTATTATACGAGAACTTCTCGCGCAGCTCATACGAGGTCCGGAGCAAACGCATACGGCGCACGATGTCTTCGAGGGCGTCGCTAGGTCTGTAGCTGTGGTCGTGCCTCGGGAGACCACTCACATGGCCCAGGATATCGGCGATGCTCGCCTTGCGTGTGGCCCAATCGTCCCCCCCTATATCATGCAAGCCCCATTGCAGCTCTTCGGGGACGACATCGACCACTTTCGTATCCCAGTTGAAGCGCGCCAGACCGGAAGGCAGAGGGGTCACGTTTTTGGCGGTAGCGTAGTCTTCCATGAGCAACCCGATAGAAGTCGCAAGGAACGCTTTCGAGCACGACGCGATGCAAAACAGGGTCTGTCCTTGGGGAACACAGTCCTATGAACCAGGAAGAGCGGCATCAAAGGACTCGGGACATACGTCGGGAGAGAGATCGAGTCCGTTTCCCTCCTCGGTCTTCCTTCCAGACGAGGCCAGTTGGATGATGGGCTCTTTGTTCTCCGCAAGACGCACAACACCGACGGAAATTCCGGGTATGGTGCCATTCTGTCTGATCTCGTCCATATACGACGAAAATTGAGGAGGTAACAGAGTATCGGCGGAATGGAACTCCGCGGGATTGTAGTCAAGTAGAGCAAAGGTCTCCTGGGTCGGTTGGGACACGCTCCATGTCGCTGCAGCGGTGAGGAGGGCAAAGAAGAGCGACGGGCGAGCCATGGTGGCCGTGGCAGGTAGAAAAGCGGAAGAGTCCTGCGGAGATGGAGTCAACGCCATCAACAAAGCGCCCCCTGCGCGATTCTATGGCATCAGATTGGATTCACGTCGCCTGCGTGGCCAAGCATGGTCTCCACGTCGATCCGGAAGCCAGAAGAAAGTATGCAAGACGTGGCGAAGCTATGGCGGTAGTGGTAGACCAACGCACCGGAGCGTTGCGCTCTCGCCGTCTTCACCGAACCACTTCGTACTGCGCAGGCATGTGCAGCTTTCCCACCTGCCACCGTCATCATGGCTCGCTTGTCCCTCCTATATGCCTTCCTGATCATAACAGCGACATGGAGGGTGTCCCAGGCAAAGCAGGAGACCTTCTTTCTGCCTGACAATAACGCCGCACAGTTGTACTTTACCGACACTCTGCTACCACCACAGCTTTTGTCGTACGTAGACGAGATCAGACAGAACGGCACCATTCCTGGTATCTCCATTGGCGTTGTGCGTCTTGGGAAGAACAAGGAGCCCATCATACAACTTGCGTCGTCTGGAAGGAAGACTGAGGAGGGAAACGGACACGATCTCACCCCAGATGTATGTTGCTGGTCCTTTAATATCGACTTCCCCGGTTTCTAACACTGTTTGTATCGAGAAAAGACGCTGTTTTGTCTTGCTTCATGCTCAAAAGCGTTTCTTGCAACGTCTGTCGGGCTGCTCATGGAAGACTATGCTACTGCTCAAAATGTGACCCCTCTGCCTTCCGGTCTGACCCGCTTCGACTGGGATACGAAAGTGATAGATATCGTCCCCAAAGAGCTAGAATGGGGTTTGCATGATATAGGGGGAGACGATTGGGCCACACGCAAGGCGAGCATTGCCGATATCCTGGGCCATGTGAGTGGTCTCCCGAGGCACGACCACAGCTACAGACTTGGCGACACTCCTGAAGATATCGTGCGCCGTATGCGTTTGCTCCGGACTTCGTACGAGCTGCGCGAGATATGGTCCTACAACAACCAAGTGCGTGTCCCTATCTTGTGGTCCTCGTGTCAAGACCCTCATGCCGGATTGTCGCCTCTGCAATGCAGTTCTACGTCCTCGGGGCTTACCTCGTTTCGCACTACGCCAACACGTCCTACTCTGACTTCGTCGAACGGCGCCTCTTCAAGCCACTCGGCATGACCACTTCCACCTTCTCGCCCTCCGCTGCGAACTCCTCGGGGCTGCTTACAGATACCTGGGCCAAGTTCGGTCGACAAATTCCCTTCTGGTTCGACGACAGTGTTGGCGAACTCAAGGCGGGGGCTGGTGGCGTCATCTCCAGCGCGCAGGACATGGTCAAGTGGCTTGCAGTGTTATTGAACGAAGGACAGCACCCGGCGACGAATAAGACGGTGATCCCGAAGAGCGTGTTCGATGCGGTCACGACTTCGCGATGGATAGTGTCTGGCAAGCCGGCCGGCCCTATTCGCGACAGCATCGTCGGCTACGGCATGGGCTGGATGCGGTCCAATTATGGGGACGTCGAGGTCCGTTCGGGCTGTCGCCGCGGAGACGACGTTGACATTGACTCAGTTGACGCTGCAGGTCGTGGAGCACACCGGAGGCATTCCAGGCTTCTCGACGCTTGTTGCGTTCGTGCCTCAGCGCAACCTCGGCGTTGTCATCTTGAGCAATGCGAACGAGAAAGCCGTTTGGAACTCCAAGATACTCATGCGGATACTAGATGACGTCCTTGGCTCCAAGACGTCTATGACAGCGGTCTATAGGTGCGATTAGGTTGTTGCCCTCATCATCTCTGAGATGCCAACATCCCTTCAGTTCGCAAGCTGAGGCGGAGCGGTCCCCCACGATGGAGCTCACGTCCCCGTCTCTCGCCCTAGAGGATTACACCGGGCTGTACACTGCCCCAGGCTACCTCCCCATCCGTCTCTGCTCGAAAGAGATCCACTCCAAGCACTGCAGAGACGTGATCTCCGACTTCGCCGCTATACATAACTCCTCCACACTCGAGAGTAGCCTCTACGCAGCCTTCCCCGCCGTCTGGGCATCGCACGTTCGCCTCAGCCACTTCTCCGGGGATGTGTTCAACATCACGTTCACGGCGCTGTTCCCGAACGGCTACGGACAGAACACGACGGCGTTTGAGACCGCAGAGACCGGTGAGAGCGAGGGATGGGTCGAGTTCAAAGTGGCAAAGGGTGAGGTGGAGGGCTTTTCGCTCGTGATCGATCATGCGGCTTATGAGTCGAGGAAGAGGAAGATTGGAAGTGAGCTGACTGAGACGGGGGATGCATGGTTCGCGAAGGCTTGAGGGTGGGATCCGGACAGTCTAGAAGAGAGCAATGTGCCTATCATCGGCGACGTGCACTATACGGCTCTGCTCTACCGCTATGCATCGCAGGTGTCGCTGAAGGCCCTTGGGGCTAGTGACAAGGGTGTTGAGCACGACAATAGAACGTATTAGCACAGAGTAATCATTTTAGAACCGCGGTACCGAAGTGGGGTGGTTCATGAAACAAATAGAGGACATGGTCAAGTGGCTTGCAGTGTTACTGTAGGACGAAGGAGGGCTCGCTCAAGCACGCGACGTTCGAGGAATGACGCTCGAGAGGAACGGCTCGGAGCTCTTCATAGGCAGCACGAACAGGGACTTGTACTGGGGGAGCTCGAGTGGCACAACATCGATTTCGACTCGTTCTGGACTATCCCGGACGGTGCGGTGCATCTTGGAGACAAGGTGCTTTGCTCTTCCTAGCCCTACCTCGACTTCAAACCTCGCCACACTGTACTCATCATGACTCTTTGCAGTACTGGCAGGTGATCGCCGGCAGGCAGCTCATCGCGACCGACTCGGGCACAACCATCTACGGCTCCGACGACACCGTCGCGGACTTGTACAAGGCGATCCCCGGGTCCGAGGTCATGTAGAATATCCGGGGGCCGTCTACAGCGTGTCCTGCGACGCGATTCCGGAATCGGACGTCGCGTTCGGTGGCGCGTAAGCGGACAACTTGAACTTAGGGAGGACGAACACCACATCAACACAGTGCACTGGCGGCGTCTTAGTCTGGCGCAAATTCAATTATTGGTCTCCCGGCGTACTTGAAGTCGCAGTTGCCTGCCGGGGACTGTTGAGTCTTGGGTGATAAGTACGCAGTATTTCGCAAGGAATGGGATGAGGGTCGAGATGCTGACGAGGTTATTCGTTGCTGCGCAGCTTCATGAATTTCATAGTGAATGCAATCCCCCCCATCAGCAAAAGGCGCAACTAATGGGCATGCACGACCATACCTGCCAAAGCCGGCCAGCCCTTTCCGGCGCGCGTCTGCGTCCGCAAATTCTCACCAAGTTAACTCTCGTCAGACGAAAGATGGATGGCTAACATCGGGCGGGACGACTCACGGCATATGATGGTAGCTAATAATCAGCAGATATGATTAATGGTCATTCAATTTCAATTGGAATCTAGCCGCCTGTGGGCGCACAAACTTTCAACATGTATCTTGGGCTGCGAGGCATTCGGTACGGAGGAGATGCCAGAGAGAAAAACGGTCGCCAGTTCCTGTATAGTAGTATGACTCTGACCCGAATTGGCCCCGGACTTAGGCGTCTTGTTGACTGACGTCGCTTCGCCGCTATCACGTAGCTCCACGCTCTTGCTGGCCATAAAGCTCCTCGACCAACAGCCACCTTTCACCAACACCTCTTTCTTCCTACTTCCATCTCCCCACCTCTGTGCATACTTTTCTCTTCCTGGGACTGGGATCGCCTCGAGCCTGCTGGTGTCTGTGGTGATGAAGGTTGAAACAGCATATCTTAGGCAGACGTCGCCGCAATAACCCCTCGGCATGCACTATGGGTGCCTATGGCATATTCCCCTGTAAGTTATGTCTTTCCGACCGCATTGTTGCAGCGTGAAGCAGCGCTCTATGGTAGGTCATACACGCAAGCTGAGAGGTCTTAGCGAGGTGCTTTGGTAGCAAGGTAGGTGCGCATTTCTATGCGCTCAGCAGGTAAAGCGTTGGCGTCGTGGAGTCTTGCAGCCATTCTTCCCACTCGCTCACAAGGGTACAGTCATACACCACTCCTTTTGACAGCACCACTCCTTTTGACAGCACCACTCTTTTGACAAAGACTGATCGCTGTTCCTCCTTCGTACCCCCTTCCTTTTTATGTTCATAATCCTATTCTTATACATTGTAGTTACATATCTACCAGTTTGGGGGCTTGCTTCCCCTCGCGATGTTTTCATACAGAGGAATGATCACTCGAAATTAGCCAAATATGACTTACTCGCTAGATCTTGATTGCAGTGTAGCAATCATAAAAAATCGGAGACTTACAACACTGTCACTAGGTTCTTCTCATAACTTTGAGTATATTTTCAGCCTTATCGAGGGTAATAGAGTATCATAGATGAGACTTGCAACACGGTGGCCATTGCCATCAAACAGGTTGTCACACTGCCACATTAGGCTACGATTTTAGGATGACCAACACCATGTGAAGCGCCGGATTATGGAGGTTAGGGAACAAGGAGAGGATGAGCACATCACCACCGCATTCCCAGCATGTTCCCACCACATTACACTGGATTAGGGGATGTCATGGTATTAACTGCCTTCCGCTCACATTCCGTGCATGTTCCCCACATATTACTTAGACATTGCGCACCCTGTGTAACATGGGATCAAATGGGATATCCACTTTTGTACCATAATTATCATTTATATTCATATGAGGTTTGCAGTTCGGCACCTCATATATGTCCCAATATAGGCAGGTGGTTGGTTATTGGCTTTTGGGCCAGCGAGAACATATATTCATATGCGGAATATATATATTCGAAAGCCGACTCTTTGACGCTACAGCCCAAGTACTAGTGTCTAAGAATCTGCAGACCAGCCTAATAAAACACCCCATTTATACCATGCGCCACAGTCAAAATGCGGTGATGTCCTACAACTGATCCAGACATTAGGCAAAGCTGAGACAGCATGCACAATACCAAACACACACACCTAACTGCGCATATATGCAACGACATTGTCAGTATATGAGTGCTGCTTGGGCAATATTAGCAGTTTGCTATCAAGCTGAGACTTCAGAGACTCACCATCAAGTTACGATGAATGCTGGACAACAGCCGGGCCTACTAGATGCTATCAGACTCTATGCAAAGACTTTGTATACAACATCAGAAGACTCACCATTGCCCTGATTAGTAGATGTACCTATAAGAGCCTGCAAACGCCTGCATAGTGAGACTTGGACATCAGCTGACATCCGGAAGTCAATGGTCAGTACGTACCAAGAATGTTACGCTGAAGTACTAACACAAGTCTATCCAGACTTATCACGTGGACTTATCCAAGTACGCGGTGTAGCACACGGGGAGAGAGTATCGCACAAGTCCCTAGATTGAGGGATATAGGGATACAAGAGGTAACAAAGAGGAGAACAGAAGTGGGGAGCCTCTACCGACTACGGGCCTCCTTATATACTATGGGGTACCAACCGTATTAGGAAGGGAAAGGTAACCGCCCATAGTGGGGAGGTATGAGGAGACTGTAAAGGAACGCGTCTGGTCGAGGCTGGACCCGGTATAGTACACGACCTAGGTCAGGGTCCTGTGATATAACCGAAAGGGGATAGAGGCGGGACAGGGTCCTGAGTCTAGGTCAGGGTCGGGTAATGTAACCAAAAAGGGAAGGGGGCGCGACAAGGGTCGGGGTCTGGGTCAGGGTAAAGTAATGTAACCGAAAAGGGAAAGGGTCAGGGTCAGACTCAGGGTCCGGTCATATAGACGAAAGGGGAAATATTAAGGGAGAGGGCCGGGACTAGGAACGCAGTCGTCAGGGGGCAGAATGGGGGGTGGTAGTGTACAGGCGGACGACAGGGGAACGGGAAGGTAAACATAGGTCGCCGTGAACAGGAAGGGGGGTGGAGTGTACACGAGGGCGACGAGAAGGAGTAGTCCAATAGAAAAAGATAGGGGGTGGGGTGTACCAACGGTAACAAAGAAGAGGGTGTCACGGACGTTGGACAGACACCCCTTTTGCCGCCCATTCCCCTCCCTTTGACGCCCACCTTCCATTCGCGGACCATTTCCTTTTCTAGCCCATCCCAATTTGGACACTGTAGATACGTTCCCACAGCCGCATGCTACGTTTCCGTGATCACCATGCCCTTGCCTTTTCTTCTCGCCCTTTGTTCTCTCTTTGTCATCTTCACTGCCTCGCTCTCGCGCCTTGTCCTTGGTTGCTAAGCAGCCCCTCTAGTATATAAGGACCCCCTTAGGCGCTCCCTAGTCCCCATCTCGACCTCTTGGTCATTGGGACTAGGTGAGTGACCATAGCGTTGTACTTCCC